TTATTATTGTGGCTTTCATTTCCAGCATTTTGATTTAATTATTTTTTATAGCGTTGTCTCTCTGTTGAAATTAACCATCTGATTTTACATGTTGTCCACCTTTTTTATTAGGGCCATTAACATATTAATCATACTTATTTAAAATTTCCTGTCAGATAGTTCCAACATCTGTATCATATCTGTATCTGGTTCTGATGATTACTGTCTCTTTGGAATCTATTTCTTCTTGCCTTTTAATATGCCTTGTAATTTTCTGTTGAAAGCCAGTCATCTTGTATAGGCTAGTAGAGACTGGAGTAAATAGTTTTTAGCCTTAATACAGAGGTACCTTTCCTTCTGCTAGGCCTTTAATGTAGTGGCATGAATTAATCTAGGTTTGGGTTGCTATGTTTATCCTCAAGGCGTTAAATTCTTACAGGGATACCTTGGGTTTTGGGTGGATGGAAGTGAATTTACCAGAGCACTGTTTGATTCTGAATTTTAGCTCTTCTCCTTGCATTGTACCTCAGAGAGTCTCTTCATGTGCTCTCGTTTCTCTCTCAGTAGTATTCTGTTATTTGTTATTCAAAGCTTGTTGGCTTGACAGTGAGAGAGAGGTAGTGTGGGAGTTTATTCTCCATGTTTTGAATAAGCCTGTCTTAGGCATGTACCTTATCTCTGGATTAGGGAAGGGTTATGTGTCTCAGTTCTGTCTCTATCCCAGCTGTATTACGGACCCAGTGTATAATAATCCTGTTCCTCCCTGACTTGTTTCCCTTTGGTTGCTTTCACCCAGGTGCAGTGAGTTTTCACCAGTGCCCCAGGGCAGTCGTGCTTGGTGTGCCTTCCCTCCTCAGATTAAGGCTTTCCCCCCTACTGGAGATAGGAGCGATGGATCCAACTGGAGTTTCTTGCTCTTCCCACAAAACCACTCTACCACTCTCCTAGGTCTGCAACATGATGGGCCCACCCAAGAGATCTTTCCAATCTTTTCTGTGAACACTTGCTGGGGTTGTGGGAAATGCCTGAATGAAGTGCAGACTCCCCAAACACTGTGGCCTCCAGGGATTTCACACTTGCCTGTCATCCCATATTCAGTCTTCAAACCATTTATCAACTATTTTAGTCAAACTCTTCTTATTGGTGTCCAGTGGTGTCCACCCCCAGTGAGTACTTTGCATTCTCTTTCTCCCTGCAGAATTATCTCTTCTTAGGTTTGGGACCTGTTGCTTGTTCTGCCACCTCAGCTCTCTGATAGTCTGTACAAAATTTGATGTTAATCCAGTTACTTTCCTTTTAAGGATGAGAGGGGTTCTCCTCTAGCTCTCTACATCACAGAGCAAAGCCTTTCCCTTTCATTTTAATGGCCAAACTGTATTACATTGAATGAATGTGTAATATACCTTATTTAACTAATCTCGATCCCTTATTATTTTGCTATTAGCCAATTTTCCATTTTTTACTGTTATAAACAAAGTTGAATGATTCTTACCGGTAAATCTATCTTTGATTATTTACTTTCTCAAAGTTTACAACCTAATTAAAGAGAACAGACAGGCTTATTAGGAACAGTTAAGAAAGGACATAAGGTAGGATATAATGAATGCCCCAAAGAGCATTCTAGGGTGCAGTCATAATAAGGAGTCATAATGTAATAATAATGGTACCTCACATCCGTGTAGAGAATAGCAATACCTCCACATTTATTAAACCTTTTGATCTTAACAATAATTCCCCATTTTCCATATTAGGGAAATGAGAACTAGAAGACTTCCCCTGTTAACCCAGAGCCACACGGCTATTAAATGACAGAGCTAGGACTTGACTCAGTATCTCAGGGCAAGTCTTCAAAAAGGAGAAGATGCGCCTGAGCTGAACCCTGAGGGACGGGTAGCTTTATGTCAGGCAAAGACAGGAGAAGATGTTTCCTGCTGAGGCGGCAATATCACTTGAGACACACCCATATAGAATTTACGTCGGTCTGGGCAACCCACAGACGCACATGTTGAGACTGAAAAAGGCTTGGACTAATGACTTCTGTGACAGATGTGCTTCTCGTTCTCAGTTTAGAATAAAGGATACCCATATCAGATTATCTAGGCGATCAGCACAAGGGGTCTGATTTGAGAGTAGGAAGCCTTCGCTCCGCGGTTCCCTGAAGCGCACTGATGTAGCCCACGTGCTCCGCCCAGCCCAGGAAGGGAGCCAACCTCCCCTTCACCCAACCGAGCAGTGTTCAGCGATTGGGCGCAGAGGAAGATGCATTCCAGCTGTCCTAAAAAACAAAGACAAGCAGAAGATGGGGTAGTTTTCCTTTTCTTCAGTGAAATAAACCTGACCTTCTGGTAGGAGAGTCTGTCTTGAATCAGAAATGGTTTAAGCGAATCACAACAGGAAACAGCTCTGGTTACGGACCCAGGGTTGCTCCAGGTCCTAATGCGCAAACGGAGCGTCCCATCCCTACTTCCTGTAACTCTGGGTCTCACAGGTAGTTGCCCCAAGGAGCCCTGGCAAAGGGGGCTGGACCTTGCCTTTGGGATTTCTGCTCTAAGAACGACCTGAAGAAGAATGAACATTGGCCAAAGGAAGAAGCACTAATCCAATAATCTGGAACCCTGGCTCTAAATGTTAATTTCTATTTAATTGGCCAGTAACTACATTTAAAATAAACACCAGTTGGTAATCAAAAACAGGAGGATAAAGGATGAGCAATTGTGTAAACAGGATAGAATTACTAGACCAAAACAAAGTTGGGGGAAAGTGAGAGACAGACTGCTTCAGAGAAAACACGCTCGGGAGAGGAGGGACTGCCCGCAAGCAGCTGGGCCTCCCCGAACTCACAAAGATTTATATCAGCTCTTCCCTGTGTTTGCTAGCCTTCAGTAAAACTAATCACCAACTGGCCTTTAATTATAAAGTATTTATTCCTTTGTTAAATAAAAATTAAAAGCACATGCAAAGAGCGATTTTAAAACTGTCAAACAGGGTAAGAGTTTGGCACATCCTTGTACATCCTCAGCGACCAAGGTACAGTTGGTCAGGCTTCCAGAAAACCCTTGGTCTCCCAAGGCACTTGCTGACCCCTGCAGCTGCTGGCAGTGTGGGCTTGCAGCAACCGGGTCTGCTCCCCTGAGGGAAGAATGTGGAATCTACTGGGCTGGGGCAAGGCACATCCTACTGCCAACCCATCCCCTGTCTGTAATCTCTGCCTTTCTGCACCACCCAAGATGTACTAATGTGTCTTGTAAAGACTCATCCCTTGGCCTGTGCTGTATTCCGCACTGGTGTGGGGGGGGGGGGGCCGCGGACAGGGAGAGAGGTGGGGAGGAAATGAGGAAGAGGAAGAGGAAGCAGAGAGAACAGATGAGGACCGCTTGAGACAAGAGCCCCAGGCTGTGAGCAAGCTTCAAACTGGGTTTTCCTTTTAGGCAGACATTTTCTAATTAAACTTTAAACCCAAACCCTTGTCCTATCCCCCTCCAAAATGCAGGCTATGTGTCTCCCTCCTAGTTCCCAGGAAATTGTCTTCTTGTTCCTTCATTAGAAGCTGGAATGGATCTACTTTGAAGATAAAAATTCAGCTCCCTGCCTAATTTTTCTATGATTCATTTGGACCCAGTGCATATTCATCAGAGGGACTAAAAAGCCCTGTGAGAATCAGTTAAGAAGAAGGAAGGTGCATGAGCAGGTGATAAGTAGCACTTCTCATCAGACCTGCTGCCTGGGGATGTTAAAGTGCTTTTTAAAATGAGGACTAATAAGGCCACTCAGCATTTGCTGCTTCCTAAGAGCCTTGGCTAAATTAATTATGGCACACAATAACCCTGTAAGGTTAAAAAAAAAAAAAAATTCCTAGTATTTTGAAAGCAACTGCCCATCCCCAAAGAGGGAGGGTACGTCCCCCAGAACCAAGATTAAAACTCCACTCCCTTCCTGTCATCAAAGGCCGGCTTGTTTGTCTCCAGGCAGGGCCTTGGGAGAGCCGGTCACTCGGGCGAAGTGGCCTGAGCCACAGGCCTGGGGGGCCGCTGCACAACTGCGGCTGTGGGAATGCAGGCGCGGTGCGGGGGGAGGGGGGTTGAGGTTTTGTTTACTAATTATATATTCTGGGGCGTAAGTGGTCAGACATGGGCAGGGCCTCCTGCTCCGGGACGCAGCCCCAGGCGAGGCCTAGCCAGGAGGGGCCGGCTTTGCCCTGGGCCACCCACACGCTGGCACGACTGTGCGCCCGGAGGCCAGCTCCCTTTCTGCATTAGCTACGGCCCGGATTCCGAGTCACATCTGCACGGGCCCGAAAGAAAGCCTGTAATTTCCACAGAAGCCCGTTCTTTGAGTCAGAGCGGCAGATAACTGTTGGTTTTAGGTTTCTTTTCAAGGTGATTACACATCATTTGGTCGTGGGGAAAAAGCCTCGGCTATCAGGAAAGGAAGAGGCTGGGTGATTTGAAAACTCTGCAGGGAAGGCCTGTGAGTCACTGGGGAGAAGCGGCGGCTCGCCCCCCTCCCCCCAACACCCCCCTCCTCATCTGGGGGCCTCTTTGAGAAGAAGCCAAGGGGACCCCAGGCTTCCTAGAAGGCAGTTTAATTCTGAAAATAAAGCAGCACTTCACCTCCCGTGTGTTGGGCGGGGAATTGTGAAACAGGACGCAGTCCAAACAGTCGTGAGGGCCGAAGCTAGGCGGGCGCCCCCAGCAGCGTGCGGGGGGCGTCCTGGGCGGACCTCAGCGGCTGCTCTCCGCGGTCTCCCCCAGGAAGCCTCGTTCCAGTCCACTGAAGGCGGCCCGATAGTTTATTGACTACAAACTGGGGGGTTGAGCTGGTTGGTAAACAAGTTTGGAGTGCTATTTTTTTGCTGTGTTTATGTTTTATACATGGAATAGTTTTAAATATTTTTTTTTAATTCAGAACACTCCCGAAATTCTGCAACTTGAGGGAAAAACTACACAAGTTTCAGAGCAACATTTAGACACTTTAAAGACTTTATTTCAGGGACTTTAATGGTGATAACTGGGCGAAGGGACGACTTTTATTAACCATGGCATTTTAGCAGCGGACTACGGAGATCAAAACCAGGAGCAGGCCTTCCAAATTCATATTGCGAAGCGCCTCCAAAAACATTCTTCTGTCAGCTTTGAAACGTGGAGACTTCATCTTTTCATCTGATCAAGGAAAAATATGTTCAAATTCCCCAAAAGGTATTCGGTTAGTGAAAGGGGGTCAGGGGATGTGTTCTCATCGGGCCCCCACTCTGCAGACTTATCTGGTCAAAGATTCCCCCCCGGGTCTAGGCTGTGGGTGGAATGGGTGCCCTCGGCCTGGCGGCAGCTCTCACAAATCAGCTTTCACAGATGCAGGCCGGAGAACAAAGGGCAGGCTTCATCCGCCCGCACCCCACAGGCCCCTGTGCAAGTGGGGGGGGGCCTCCATTCCAATGCCCATCACATGGCCTCTGTGGCATAAAAGCCTTTTAATAATTCTGATTTTGAATATCAAATTGAAATGAAAAGTGCATTTAGGAAGGAGAAGCTCCGTCCACACGGAAAAGCGTGTTCTATGCAAACAGGTTGGGCAGGCGCTGGCTCTTGCAGGCTACGGTTCTCAACTTGGCTGCACATTGCACACCTGCTCTCAAATGTACTGATGCCTGCCTCCTCCCCTTCCACCCCCCACCACCGAAAGAGTATGATTAACTGACCTAGGGCGGGGCCTGGGCATCAGGACTTTTTACAGCTCTCCAAGTGATTCTAATGTGCAAACTTGAGAACAGCTGCCGAGGGATTTAATGCAGCATTCAAGGCCTCTCATAACCGAGTCCCAGCCAAACCTTTTGACCTTTCCTTCCTTCACCCCCATCTCAGCCTGTACGTGAGGCGCAGAGACCTTTTCATTATGCCCTGAAAGTACTTGGCTTGTGCATATTTCCATGCTTTCATGCACACATATTATCTCACTCTGGGCACCAGAGAAAGCCCAGCTCAAATGTCCTCTGTGCAACTTCCCCCTAATTGTCACCCCACCTTCACCACCTTGCCCTGCAGTTACAGGACACTTTGTGCCTCCCTTTATTGGAGCATTTCTCACATTACATTAAAGACACCTGCTTAGGGGCGCCTGGGTGGCTCAGTCGTTAAGCGTCTGCCTTCAGCTCAGGTCATGATCCCAGGGTCCTGGGATCGAGCCCCGCATCGGGCTCCCTGCTCGGCGGGAAGCCTGCTTCTCCCTCTCCCACTCCCCCTGCTGTGTTCCCTCTCTGGCTGTGTCTCTCTGTCAAATAAATAAATACAATCTTAAAAAAAAAAAGACACCTGTTTATAGGTCTGCCACTCTCCCTCGCCAACAAAATATGGACTGCAGTTCCGGCAATAAGCACAGGGCTCGGTTAGGGCATAGGTTTCTGTGAATGCTTATCGAATGAGTAAATTAATGAATGAGTGGATGAATGCGTGCCAGTCTTGTACATAGTTGATATTCTACCACATCGAACCCAATTCTCAAACCAGGGTCACCTGGGAGACTGAGTCAGTAATTTGGGGGTGGCAGATCTACATCTTTGTTTATCAATGTGGGTTTCATCCACCAGTAGTGGCTACATTATCTGAGAACTTGTTACAAATGCAGAATTTGCATTTTAACAAGATCCCAGGAAATTCGTATGCATAGTACAGTTTGAACTGTAATTTTAAACAAGCTCCCGGGTGATTCCCATGTAACCAGTCTGCTGAGGAGCAATTGAGACCCACTACTCTAGACTTCCATTTACTGCATCTAGTAGACCCTGTGTGATTGCCTAATGGTTCCTTCTATTACCCCTTTTCCCTACCTAACGAAGCCTTGATTTTGTTCAGGTATCAGCCCTTCACCCACCAAGCCTGTCCCTCAAGGAAGCTTGACCCCACCTCCAGCCCCAGAACTGGGCCTGATTGGTCAAAGGGACATCACATTCTGCCCCAGCAGGGATTGGTTCAGGAATGGACATGTGACCAAATTCAGGTTAATGAAATACGAGGGTAAATACCTTGGGGGGCAACCTAGAAAAAGTTTTCTCTTTCCTAAGAGAAAGCCACAAGGGAGAAAAGCAAGTCTCTCCTCTTCAAGAGGCTGTTCTGCCTCGATGTCATGTCTTGGAACTATTGCTGCCGTCTGCTACCTGACCAATGAAGAAAACCAACACTGAGGCATCAGAGCAGAGATGGGAAGGACCTGGGTCTTAAGACATCGTTGAGCTTTTCTGTCTCTGGACTTCTTGTTATGGAAGGTAAGTTTTTTGGTTTTTTTACTCTTTAAGCGATTTCTGTTCTTTGCAACTGAAAGTTCTCATTGATATACCAAACATCTTACTATCTTCATTCAATCAATATTTTAGTACTTACTGCGAGGCATTATGCTAAGTACATTACAAGTACTATCCTAACTCTCAAGAAATCTGTAAGTCAAGTATCGTTAATCCCATTTTACAGATGAGGAAACGGAAACTTGGAGCAATCCACTGCTCAGTTAAGTCAAATAGCTAATAAGTGGTAAAGTCAGAATTTGAACCTGGGTCTGACTCGAAAGCATATGTTCTGTCCACGCTACCATGGTTTCTAGTTGAGTGGCTTTATTACGTGAAGTTTCAGTACGTCATCAGTTCTCAACTTTTTAGACTCAGGACCCTTTATGTTCTTAAAAATGATTGAGGATCATAAAGTGTTTTTATGTATTTAGGTGATATCTATTGATATTTAACACATTAAAAATTAAAACTGAGAAATTTAAGGTGTTTAATTTAAAAATAACATTGACTAGCCCATTTCATGCTAACATAAGTAATATATTTTCATGAAAAATAACTATATTTTCCCAAACAAAACAAAATAGTGAGAAGAGTGACATTGCTTTACATTTTTGCAACTCTCTTTAACATCTGGCTTAATAGAAGACAGCTGGATTCTCTCTGCTTCTGCATTCGATCTGTTGTGATGTGTTGTTTTGGTTGAAGTATACAAAGAAAATCTGACTTCACACAGATATATCATTGGAAAAGAGGGGAGTATTTTATAAGCCTTTTCAGAAAATTGTGCTTTTTCTCTGATACTATACCAAAACTGCACAAGTGGTAGTTTCTTAAAAGTTAGTTGCAGGGGCGCCTGGGTGGCTCAGTCGTTAAGCGTCTGCCTTTGGCTCAGGTCATGATCCCAGGGTCCTGGGATCGAGCCCCGCATCAGGCTCCCTGCTCAGCGGGGAGCCTGCTTCTCCCTCTCCCACTCCTCCCCGTTTGTGTTCCCTCTCTCGCTGTGTCTCTCTCTGTCAAATAAATAAATAAAATCTTAAAGAAAAAAAAAGTTAGTTGCAGTGTGGAACCTGAAACCAAATGAATAAATGTTTCATCTCGATTGCATTAGGATCCATTGGTCTGCCTTATACTTTGAAGTGATCTTTACCCGTGCATAATTTTGTTACATCAGGCACTGGTCATTTGGAAAATGTTGATTCACTGAGTTATGCAGACCTTCCCAATGTTGAGACATTACTCATACAGTATCAAAAACTGCATTTGTCAATATCACCATCAATATCATCAGTAAAAGTCTCTAAATACTGGTAAAGCTGTGAAGCTCATGGTAGCTAAAACAAGTTTTCCAAAGTTCTAATTTTTGCTTGAAGTCTTCATTTCTACCACTGGCAACAAATACTGTCAGTTATTTTCTTTGAAGCGGCGGGCTCACTTGCCAACTTTTGAGAAAATATCTGCCAGATATCCAAGTCAAAATAACTGTCATTTGTCTCTCAGCCATTCTTCCAGGTAGAAGTAGTGCTCCTCGAAAAGCAGCTAGTTTAGTTTGTAACTCGAACAATGGCATGAGTGCTTTTCCTCGGGAAAACATGGTACTTTGGAATACAGCAGATTTTTTTCAATGTATATTTCCCATTTCATGACATAGACCGTTAAAAAGACCGGTACCTAAAGGTCGAGATTTAATAAAATGAGTATTTTTTATGGTTCCTCAAGGACATTCTTTAAGGAAACGAGCAGAGGTGTCTCTGGACTGCAGGGGTGAGGCAGTGAAGAATGCAGTGCCTACTGGAACGGTTTGGTGCCACTGCCTTGATTCATGCTAAGGCACTGATGGTGATTTTCTCCGCCATCGCTTCTATGTCATCAATGCAAATGTCAGTACAGTGAAAAGAGCCAAAGAGCATCTTAATATTATCATGAAAATGGCTTTGACTCGTGGGCCAGCTGCAGTAGGGTTGGGCTTCCCAAGGGTCTGCAGCCCACCCTTGGAGAACTGCTACTCTAGGTGGTCGCGAGGCCCATGACAGCTGCTAGGAAAAACCATGGAGACGAAATGATTGTTGCCAGGCCCTGGAAGAGACTGAGCTCTGTCACACCACGGTCTGGCCTCTCCTCTGAGTCAATGTGACTTTTGCCTCAAGCATTGCTAACATGGCGGGGCTTTACAGAGGAGCCTTCAGAGTGTCCCGGGGCTGGGGTGCTTGCGAGGCCTGGGGCCGGGGGACACGGGAAATTGGCTCACTCAGTCCCCGTGCTGCCAGTTACAACGGTGCGGATCCACAACTACCCTGTTGCCCTATGGAGCCCATTTAGGCAATTTAACTTGTACTTGGCTTAGAAATGCACTATTTAACATGATCTGATTTCTACTCATAATTCTTAAAATACTCCTGTTAATGAAGTTATCGAAGCCTTTTCCTTGGGATAAAATTTCTCGGATGCTGAAGAACTATTAAATAATGAAGGTTTTGTGTCCTTCTGGGGGGTATCGGGACTCTTTCTCTCTAGCGGCCCCTTTCCTCAGTAGCTTGCCAGAACGGGCATGTTGGCAACACCAAGCACAACTTGGGGGCATCTCACTGAGCCAGTCCCTGTTTCCAGGAAAGAAACCCATGTCCTTGAGCCAGAATGAATGCTCTAAGGGCTGGGATTTTTCTTTCTCCTGCTAGAGAGGGAAGAATGACAATGGTTTGCTTGAATTCCCACAGTGGGAAAAGCCATCCAGAAATTCCAGCCTGCCAGACATCTTCAGGCCAGAGATGCTGTTCCTCGACTCATGAATACACTGAGGAATTTGTCCTGGCACCATCTGAAGGGTTAAAAAAGGCTCCTGTTCCTGATTAGCCGTGATGCTTGGGCTAACTAAAACTGGGAAAAGGCCAGTCATGCTGCTGGCCTGCTAGAGTGACTGAACACATTTCTTTTTTTTTTTTTTTTTTTAAGATTTTATTTATTTATTTGACAGAGAGACAGCAAGAGCAGGAACACAAGCAGGGGGAGTGGGAGAGGGAGAAGCAGGCTTCCTGCCGAGCAGGGAGCCCGATGCGGGACTCGATCCCAGGACCCTGGGATCATGACCTGAGCCGAAGGCAGACGCCCAACGACTGAGCCACCCAGGCGCCCGACTGAACACATTTCTTAAAGCACAGAAGCGAGATAGACATCCCAAAAGATTGACCTGAATTTGCCTTGCAAATGGTAGTTTCTGCCTTGTTGCTGCACTGCTGTGGAAAAAAAAAAGTCACGATTGGAATATGGCAGGGAAGGAAGTTCCCAGGTCCTCAGAGGAATGGCTCTGAGTGTTAGCAAGTTTTTCCTAATATTTGACCTAAAATGTTCTTTCCTTCAGGACCACACAGGCTTTTTTTTTTTTTTTTCCTTCTTAAACACAAAACACAACTGCATCATACATTCCTCCCCTCGCTTCTGTACTGGGAGCACAAGAGTTGTAATGATGTCCTTGGCTCTGGGTCTCTAAACCTTCCCATTGAATTTCTCTAACCTCACACAACAGGACCAGCCCAAGCCTTGCAAGGGAGGGAGGAACTACATTCAGGGCAATAAGTGCCCAGATCTGGATTGAATTAGTCTGGTCTGTGTGCCATTCCTGGCCTCTGTATGCTTTCAGGTTTGCGTACGAACAGTGCTCCGTGTGATCTGCCTTGGAACCCCTTCCCCCGCTGCCCCTTTTCCTTTTTACCTTGAGCTTTTGCTTGGTACTTTAGCTCTTATTATTATGTTGGCAGAGTGCTTTCCCTCCCTCTCCCCCAAGCACAGTTGCGGTATATTGTTCCTGTGCTGTATTAGAAAGAATGATGGATGAATAATTTGGGGGAATGTATACTCTGGTTGTGCATTAAATAGTCCTAGATGTTGGAGAAGTCACACCCCTGTTCTGGGCTTCACCTGACAGGGGATTGGGAGAGGGCTACATTCGAAGTGGTTCATAAACCTGGAGACCAGAAATACATTTTTTGCAAGTCCCCTCCCCTACCTCCAGCACTTCCTTCGATGGGTGCTAGGAGGACAGCAGTGTCTCCCCGTGAGGGGGCCAGCTTTGAGGCCCGCTGCTGGACTTGATGCGTTCTAGATCCTTCTCAGTCCTACAATTTGTCTTCTCCCTGTCTCTCCAGATGCCGTGCAGTGCGCCACTGGCTTGTACTTAACTTGCCAAAGCTTCGGTGCCTTCTAGGTGGTCCACACGGTTTCAGACCACTCCCTGTCACTCCAGGCTGGAGTCCGGACCTTCCACAGCCTAAAAGAGAAGGGCAGTTTGGTGATTTTTTTAAGGTATCTCCTTTATTTAAAAGAGTGAATTGGGGACTCTGAGAAGTCAGGGGGTGGCAAGCGCTCTGAGCTTGGGTCAAAGGACAGCAGGTAGGAGAGGCGCCCACATGCCTCAGGTGCTGTGTCCCAGTAGCCACACAAAGAGGCTTCTGGAAAGAAAAGATTCCTACCAGTTTCTGAGGGAGCAGATGGCCTCGGAGGGCTGCCTGCCTCCCCCACCCCCACCCCCCGCCCCCAGGCTCCAGGACCGACTTAGCTTCCTACTCCTGTAGGAAGCATGACAAGCCCCACCTACACTGCTGGCCCGAATGTTTGAGAACTTGGAGCAGTTGGGAGCACAAACATTTACTCTCTGGAGGTGTTGTTTGGTGCTGCTGTGACCGAGGCCAAAAATGCAGTTTCCTAAATCCCCTGTTCCTATTGTAGGGCACACACTACAGATTAAAGAAAAAGAAAAGAAGTACGAAAAAATAAACAGCGAGTGTGCCAGTGGGCTAGGCATCTGTAGAAAAAGAGGGAAAATCTGGGTGGCTTTAGGGAAAACAAAGACAACCAAACAGGAAAAGAATTCAAGAACACACAAAGTGTGAATCAGACGCGTGAAAACACACATAAAAGAAAATCCATTCATATAGAAGATAAACATTGAGAAGGGGATTCTGTGTGGTAAGTAACTTAAAATGTTTACTCCAGGAGGCTAATAAGGTCTCCCATGTAAAACAGAAGCATTTAGAAATATGATTTGCCAGTAAGATAAATGCTGAAACAAAACATAAAAAGTTGAGACAAAATTCCGACCACATTTTACTTAAATATCTCCTTAAGTCACTATAAAAAAAACAAGATACTTCCAGTTACTCTACTTATTGATCTACACCTTCCCAAGAGAACTTAAAATGAAATGATAACATTGATCAAAGAGTTGGCATCAAGAACCAAAGGATAACATTTCAGCTAGTCAGAAAGTTAACAGTGGCATAACTGCTTAAATATTTGGGAGAACATGATGACCGAAAATCTTAGGTTACTCAGTAATTATATATAACCTTGGAGAAATTTTCTAAAATCTCCATGCCTCAGTGTGCTCATACATAAAATGGGACATTGCTGTTTCATGGCTCTGTTGTGAGAAAATAAATAATCTAAAATGCCACCATAATTCTAATTAAAATGCAATCGTGAGTGCAGTGAGTGAAACCTTCTCATCTTTAAGAACCAAGAGAATGGTTTTTTTTAGGAAAAAAGAAAGTCTTCCTGAAGTTAGCCAAACAACAAGGAAAAAAATAATTCAGCTGAGAGGGGAAAAAAATGGCTGACCCAGGTTTCAGCTCTATATCCCCTTTCTAATAAAGACACAAGGCAACCATCTTTTTTTTTATATCTTTTACTAAGAATTCATTTGGAATGTTTTCCGTATACATTATAAATAAGTTCCAGAATCCAGGTAGCCTAAAGAAACCACATTTCCCTGATGGGTTCTGTTGCTTATAGAAATCGTTCCTATTACCTATTCACAGGAACGTTTGGCCTATTTAAAGGTCGCAGGTGTGTGAGAACAGATGGTATTGAGAACCGGGACATATTCAGGCTGCGAAAAGACTGCCAACAGTCAGCTTGAGGGTAATGCTTTAAGAGTAGCAGTGTTTTTTTCCTTTCCCTTACTCATGTGTGCATAGCGAGCAGGTTCTCTGTGAGAGCCATGTCCTGGAGATTTAATTTGTATTTTTTTTTCTCCTCTTCTGTTCTTTAGGAGACAAGTGCCAGATATTTCAAAATATAGGCTAGCTCAGAAAACCACCTTGGAGTCAATGCAGTGAGCCTCCCTGAGAATGGTAGGTATGGAGTGAGTTGGTTGTGCCTACTATTGGGGGTTTAAAAAGGAAGGGGAGGATGGAGAGAGAAAGAGATGGAAAAAAACAGCAGAGGAGCTGTTTCCTCCTGGGCAGGGTGGGGACAGGGTTCGCTATCTGGGACAGGACGGTGGTTGGGGTCGACGGGAGGCAGAATGCTATTGGCCCGGTCCTGAACCATCACTCCCGGACTCTTGGCCTCTGCAGGTGTCTGACTACAAGAACTGAGTGTGCAGGTCAGGAGGAACGGCCATGGCTTAGTGTTCGGCCTGATAACGTGTGCAGGCCACTGGCAGAGTGACTGTGATACAGCCGATCACCCACACCCACAAACCACTGTGAACTCACCAGCTCTGGCTGGCGTCCACAGCCGTGGTCCTAGCAGAATGCCCTGCTCCAGGCTCTGCCCCCAGACCCGCCGCCCTTTAGGGATGGCTTCACCAGGGAGAGTCAACCAGCACTGCTTCCTCAGCCACCCTGTGCCTGGAAGTGGCATTCCCATCCCAAAGGATTAGATCACTCAAGGCTGAAACATCCCCCACTGCCCATCTGTGAGTCCACGGAGACTAGCAAAGAGCTTAGCGCTCCAGCCGGGGCCAGGGTGCTGGGAGCCCTCTGCCTGGTCTTGCCAGGGCTCAGCAGCCACTCGCTGCGCACCACGAGGACACCGGAACAGGGGTACATTGCCTGAAAAGCCAGGAAGCTACTGCCCGCAGTGCTGGGCTCTCTGTCCAGCTTCTGAGAGTCAGCCCAGCCCTGCAGGCCCAGCGCTGCCTATAGCCCTTCTGTCAGCAGCTCACCTGGGACCAGCAAGCAGCTCCACACAGCCTGATCCAGACAGCCCAAGGCAGACCAAAGCGGGGGGGGGGGGGGGGATGGGGGGGAGCGTGGAATAGAGTTTTCCTTTTACTCTGGAACTGGCACTTAGAGTCCCAGCTGAAAAGAAGAGGTGCTAAATGCCTCACATCCAAGAGAGTTATTAGAAACCCAAAGCCAGATCTGCTTCTTCCCCTGCCCTCACCTCCCTGGGTTTCCTACGGGGCAACATCTTAGGTTCCACAGTCCCCAGTCAACAGCCACCACCATCACCTCGCTGTTCCCTTTATGGGGGTGGGGGGCTGGCGGGGGTGGGTAAGCAGGAGGAGTCATGTAGGTCAACCACCTTGGGCAGGGTTCACAGTGAGAAGTGGATCCCTCCCTGTGCCCCACCGGCCACCCCTGCCCCAAGGTGAAGAAGTGGGAGGGGACAGGCTGCAGGGAAGGTGGCATCTCACTGGCCAGGTGGACATCTGCTAGGCTCACTCTTGCGGATCTCCCCCTCGCCTACCTGAGCGGAAGATGGTGACAGGGGCTCTGTAAGGTCTTGAGCTGTCTTCCAGGATTTACCCAGAGGGCTGCTGCCTGGCAAAGGAACCCAGCAGCAAGAACTGGGCGAGAGCAGAAGAGACCTCACCAAGCTAGCTGGCCCACATCAGGCAACAGTGTGTTCCTTTGTCCCTGCCCCTTCCTACCCCAGCAGCCTGGAGGATCTTAAAACTGAGCAAGAGAAGGAGCCTGACAGGGAATTCTGAATTCAGCACGTGAATGAGGTTTTTAATTGGACTGCAAGTGACAAGAAAGTAATGGAATCTGCCCAAGATGTGCTAAGGGAGAAGCTTTTCATTTTTCATTTGTTAGTTTGTTTTGTTTGGCTAGGAACAAATCCAATTTGAGGGTAGTGATTAGAAAAATGAAAACCGTTTCATGTTTTACCCCACTGAGTTGAGCCTGCTCAGTGAACAGTTATGGAATCATAAGCAGTGAGGGACCCATGGAAGCTTGGGCTAGAGAAGCTTCCAGATCCTCCCCCCGCCCCCCCACCAGATGTCAGATCTCACTGTAGCAGGGTATCCATCTGAAAGAGGGCCACACCCATTGCCGGGATTCAGGTTTGTATGGGCATGTCTGGAACATGGTGGGGTTAGTCAATCCTGGGCTCCTGTCTGGGTCCTGAGGGGAAGAGGGGAGGAGGTGCTGCAAGTCAAACTTCCATTCAAATTGGGTACAATATTGGAGCTAAAGCATTGCTCTGCAGTCGCCTTTACCTCCGTGCAAACTCTGTGCTCAAGGTGAGAAGTTTTTTGCTTGGCAACCATTGCATCCAAAGCTGTGCCGTCCAAATCAGAAGCCACTAGCCATCTGTGACGATTTAAATATAATTAAAACTTCACCTCTTATATCATACTAGTCACATTTCAAGCGCTAAGTAATCCCATGCAGCCAGTGGTTACTGTGTTGAATAGTCAAGATATAGAACATTTCCATCGTGGCAAAAAATTCTATTAGGCTGCTCTGTTTCCGAGAAAAAGCTGTTTGTTCCAATGATGGCAGAGAAAATGGCCAAGCTGGACTTCTGAGCTATCATCTGGTATGGTCAAAATGACAAATTCCAAACTTCATGGACAAGTCAAAAGGTAAAGTGACGTCACAGAGAGAGGACAAGAAGCAGCCCCAGGACTGCAGAGGACACGGTGAGCCCTGATGCCTAAGTTCTGCTTTAGGAATTTGAGGGAGGGGACAGCCCGGTCACTTGGCAGAGACTGGTCCCCAGGGAGGTGATGGTGGGACTCAGGAGTGGTGAGAGCGCCTGGTGGCAGGGATCCCACTATGGCAATTCCCTCCTGGGAACTCTCAAAAATGGCGTGAGATCTGAAGGACGAGGGCCTGGGACGGATGCCTTACAGTATTTTTTTTATTCACTGGGAGATGAAAAGTAGCAGGAGTGGCCTGGTACTTACCTAATGTTGTGTAACTAATTCCTCCAAAACTTACTGGCTTAAGACAACAATCATTATTTATTATCCCTCACCGTTTCCCACAGTGGGTCAGGAACTCGGGACCAAATTGGTAGGGTGTCTCTAGCTTAGGGTCTCTCATGGGGTTGCAGTCCAGATGCTAGCCGGGTGGCGGTCATTTGAAGGCGTGACTGGGGCTGGAGGCCCACTGCCAAGGTAGCTCACTCACATACCTGGCTAATTGGTGCTGGCTATTCGTAGGAGGCCTGAGGGCTCTGCATGTGGACTTCTTCCCATGGGCTTCCTCAGTGTTCTCACAACGTGGTAGCTGGCTTGCCCCAGAATGAGAGATTCAAGCCTTTGAAGTCACACAAACTTGTACTTCTGCTATATTCTGTAGTCACACTGACCAGGCCTAATTTGGTGTGGGAGGGAGTTCTACTCCATGAATACCAGGAAATACTAGGAGGCAGAGTTTACTGGGGGCCATCTTGGAGGCTGGCTACCACGTGGTCACATAGAGCCACGTGCTACGTATTATCAGAATGTATGATGGGAAATCTGTCAGTTGCAAGTGACCAAAATCTCTCTAAGGTTTGTCTCAAGAAAAATCAAATAAAAGAGGATGCGTCTACTAGCACATATAACCGAAAAGTCTTGGTGTCACTGGAGGGAGGTACTTCAAAGACATCCCCAGGGTTTTGTCTCATTCTCAGATCTGCTGTCCTCCTGTGGTGGTGAGATGGCCACCAGTAGCTCCAGGCTTGCATTTCCAGTTTAAGAGAAAGAGACTGCCTCTTTCCTGTTAGCACCAACAAAAATCCCAGGTGGCTTCCATGGGCTAGAATATTTATTTCTCAACCAGTCACTGTGGTCTCTTTCGAATATGGTACTGATGGCCAGGCTTAAGTCCCCTGCTCATCCCCGGACTAGGTGGCTGTCACAACAACAACAAAGCATGAATGGTGCTGGGCTGGCAAAATCAACCACTGTTCAGTACAAAAACACATCCCTGTCTGTCTGCTTTCATAACAGAAAATTCTATCACATTACACTCACCCCCTTAGGAAGACTGACAGTGCCAAACTTCCAACCCAGAAACACATCACGGTTTTCCATTACCCTTCCTACAGAAGCAGACAGAGACATCCCTCTGGGAGACTTATTTTGCACAGCCAAGGCTAGTGATTTCTCTGGTATCTCTAAATCTGGATGGTGCTTCAGGGGCCACGCTTTGGTTTATACTGATCACAATGCCTCACTTCCAGTGTCCTGTAGTGTCTCTCTTGGCAGCAGGTGGAAAGAGAGTAACTTCCCAGCAGGCCCTTAAAGATGCGTGATTAAAATTACTTTATTAAAGAGAAATATGACCTTGTATAAGTAGGGTATAATAAATACAGTAGCAGCTCACTCGTCCAGGCCCTAGATGGCTGATTGGTAATGTATTCAACCCTTTGCAATACAGACTGTGTTCCTGGGTGGGGAAACATTTCTGCAGATCAGATAAAGCACTCACACAGCTGTACATTTAACCACTCATTCGAAGGCTTATTGATTCTAACTGAGCATATAAACATGTGGTTTGGGACGTGGTTGATACTTCTAGCTCCCCAGTCAGTGGCAGATAAGAAACAAAAGACTGATTGGGGTGTGGCAGGGAGTCACCGCGTTGCCGGCAAAGAAGGTAACTGACGGTTTGAGGAGCTCAGCCTGCAGTGGCGTCCTGGTTCTCGCTGCTCTTTGTTTCTGGTGCTAAGGAAGCACTTTAGCACTTTCCATGTCACGTCTCATTCAATCCTGTCAACCCCATAAGGTCGGGGCTATTGTTTGCCCCATTTCATAGATGCGAAAACTGAAGCTTCAGGGTGATGTCAGGTATTAAGAAAAGGTCGTTGTGGGGCGCCTGGGTGGTTCAGTTGGTTAAGCGACTGCCTTCGGCTCAGGTCATGATCCTGGAGTCCCGGGATCGAGTCCCGCATCGGGCTCCCTGCTCGGCGGGGAGTCTGCTTCTCCCTCTGACCCTCCTCCCTCTCATGCTCTCTGTCTCTCAGTCTCTCTCTCTCTCAAATAAATAAATAAAATCTTAAAAAAAAAAAAAAAGAAAAGGTCGTTGTGCTTGGTGACACCTACTTAACAAAACAGGTTAGTAGGTAGCGTCATTTAGAAAAGTGGCTTTTACCGGAGACTTTTTAGGGCATAAAAGGGTAAGTGGAGATGTTACTTCCAAGATCTGTCTTATCCCACAGCCGGGCAAACTAAGGCGGCTCTGGGGTGCCTTCTGGGCCTGAGATTCTGTAACTTTAGAAATGGTTCTGAGGGGGTTGTCTGTTGGAACTGCCTTCCGAGTTCCCTGTCAGGGCTCGGAAGGGGGAGGTCTGGGACAGTGGTGGGCAATGCAGTCTCTTTTCAGGATGATTGCTAATAACGGCCCCCCGGCATCTCCATGGTGGGTCCGATTCCTCCAGCTATATTTCTCTGGCCCACTTGGCATCCTGGCTGGAACGACACAAGATCCACTCCTACTCCAGGTGCCCACAGACCTCAGCTGCCCTCATCCCCCTGTCTCAAGATTACACGGGACACATTCAAAGAATTCTTCCTTTGAAGAAGGTCGTCGTCTTTGGACTTGAGGTCAGATGCAGGAATTACTGAGGCTCCTGCTTTCATTTGCTCCCCTGCCCTTGGTTTAGCCAGTTGAGAGAAGAAGCCATTGGCTTCAATGTTTTCTTAACCTTGACAAGCAAACAAGCGGGGGGAAATCCACTGTGTGTTTTCTTCTCTCACAGCGCGAATTAAGAGGCCCTTCTGGATCCTTCCTAGTGGGGGTGGATGTGGTATTGGGAAGGATAATCGTTTTTCCAAGACTGTCGGAGTCACTGAGATTATGTGGATTTCACAGATAGGGTGTGTGTGTTCCTTCTTGCAGATTTTCACGACCCAGTGCAGTCCCCCGAGGCCCAAAATGAAGCTGGAATGATCCATGCCTCTTTGAATGCCAGTATCTCCAAAGAGCTCAGGAATTTCAGTTTCCTGGAACTCAGACCTATTATGTGAAATGCTTCAGTTTCTGAGCCTTGGCAATTCTCATATGCCCATTGTTCTTTCTGGCCTGGACCTGACCCTTGCATATGCATTTAGAAACACTTGCACAGGACAAGGAAGAGGCGTCAAGGAAGAAGATCCAAATATCAAAATTGTCCTTTGAAAAATACAACTGATTACTGAATTCGAACCCTCTGCTTTATCTGGGCACAATATTCTCTTTCAAAGATATTTCTTTTATTTTTAGATTTTACAGTGCATAAAGAACAGACACCCCTAGGGGTGTGGTGTTGGCTGGCGCTAGATGAAATTATGAAGGAAAGGACATTGAATTTCCCCATCTTCCTTTTTTGCAACTTTTTACCACCTCTTAGCGACTCCCCTGCCCCAGATGTCCCTGCTGTAAGGACATTCTCTCCCAACAGGGAAAAAACAAGGCTAGGTAATAAGTGAATTCAAAGGGAAAGAATTAGGAATGTGTTGTAATGTTTTATGCTGACATGAAACCATGCATTTTAAAAGACAACCTCTAAAGAGGGGGGCACTTTGTAGGAATAAGTTTCTTTTTAGGGGCGAGGTCGAATGTCCTAAATTCTCCTCCCCATGAAAATCGCTGGGGTGGGAGCCTGTGCATAAAACATGCCCTTCCCCCGCCTTACTCCTGACCTGAAGGCTCTAGGAAAAGAATCTAAAAGTCAGTGTTCTGGGTCATTTTTGTGACTAGCTGGGCTTGGGAATCATGGCACTCTACACCCACACAAAGCTGAAGGTCTCGTGGAGTTGTAGAAAATTATGCTTCTTAGGGAAAGAGATCTGTGTTTGAAGAAGCCACTTGACAGGTGGCTTGAGCTAAGCATTTAGCTTCCTTGAGTCTCACCTGTAAATCAGATTAATTGTCTTGCTTTTGCTGGGTTGTGCTCGTGGAAATCATGCACATAAAGGCCTGGCACAAGGTTCTCTGATCCACGTGCTCAGTTAACAATAATTCTTCTTAGTGTTGAGTAAGAATTTGCACATGCCAAATGTCTTTGTATCATTTCAAATGGGTGTTCAGAATCTTTTTAAAAAATTTACTTAAATGCTTTCAAACAGGAGCACCTGGCTGGCTCAGTCGGTAGAGCATGCAACTCTTGACCCCAGGGTTGTGGGTTTGAGCCCCACACTGGGTGTAGAGATTACTTAAAAAAATTAAAAATCTTTAAAAAGAAGAAAGAAAAGAAAGAAAGAAAGAGAAAGAAAGAAGAAAGAAAGAAAGAAAGAAAGAAAGAAAGAAAGAAAGAAAGAAAGAAAGAAAGAAAGAAAGAGAAAGAAAGAAATGCTTTCAAACATATATAAAAGTACATAAAATAGTATAATAACTCTTCCTGTACCTATTACCTTGCCTTTACAAGGATCGGCATATTGCCTTACCTTCTTGTAATTCTGTTCAGTTTTTTAAGTGGTAAGAAAAGTAATGGTCCCCACGGTAACCTATGCTTGGTATTTTAAACCTTCTGAGAACAGATGCTACAGTTTTGGGGAAGAAGGATAACATACGCTAGAAAAACCCACTATAGGTCAGCATCCCATTGACAGATAAACGATGGTGACTCTCCTCAGACACCATTCTAACCATACACAGTTCATCACCACAACTCAGGCCCCTGGGCCCACAGGTATGTCTACAAAGAAGGCCACATCCTGGACCACATTGAACACAGTCAGTGGTATTGTAGAATTAACTCCCGCTAAGACAAGTATGTCTCCAAACTGGAGAAACCGTAAAGGGGATTCATGTCCAGCCCATCCCTCCAGCCAGACGGCATGTTGCATGCAAAAAACTGTGTCAGAGCCGCTCTTTGTCTGGGTGAAGAACAAAAGCGCTGAGGAGGCTGGAATCCTGGGCCTGGTGTGCTGGGTGAAAGGTCTGCTATTCGAGAGTGTGAAGGACATTCATGACTTCTTTCTTCCTGACAACCTGTGGCAGTCCTCACATTTGCAAAGGGACATGTGGTCCTTGTCATTTGTTTCTAAGGCTCATCGTTCTTGAATCAGTGTGATGTACTAACGCCCCCAGTGAGAACTCACAGCTCCTAATGTTTATTTATTCCAAAGTTAACCATTGAATGGGAAGCAGATCAGCCTAATAAACCGGACTCTGAGCCCAAACAAAATATAAATAGGAAGGAAGAAACAAACCAGCAGTGTAGCTCAGAACTCGGCTCTGCTAACTTCAGAGTAGAATCAGAATTCAGCACCACCCAGCGCTTCTTCTGTGAATCCAGGGCACAAGATGGCTCCTTGGGGCTCGGGCTGCAGGGAAGGGTGTAACAGCCCCGAGGCACCCACTGAAGTCACGGTAAGTCTGGGGCCCATGAAAAGAAGACACAGACACTCAAAGCAATGAGGGAGCAGAAGCTGAGGGCAAAGAACAAGCTGCCACCCCGCAACCCCCCCCCCCCCACTGTGGGATCTGTGTGACATTCCTCAGGCACTCCTAGCTGCCCAAGAACAAAGGAAAGGGAAAAACCAATGGTTAACTGATAGAGATCACAGTCATGCAGGACATGAGTCTCCATCAGTTTGCAACTGTCTTAATGATTTACAAGAAAAAAGCAATCTCCAGAAACCTATAGACTCAGTTTCCTGGAGCCCTAACATCACCGTCCCCTCCACAGGATAGAAAATCTTATATAATCTGTCACTCCTCACAACCTCAGTGCAGCTACTTCTGCCCATGGGTCCTGTCCCCGTGCTTTTAATAAAACCACCTTTTTGCACCAAAGATATCTCAAGAATTTTTTTCTTGGCCTTGGGCTCTGAACCCAACCACTTCAAACCATATCAAAAGTATGGAAGCCATGTTTGGTTATCTTGTTTGGACACTGCTCACCTCAGGAATTCTCCAGGAAACCTCCAAGGAAATTTCACACATGCAGTCAGACATCCGAAGAAGGCTGCAAAGCTCCTGATCCCACGGCTCATCACCTATGCCTCCATAGCATTCTAGAAGGATGGCTTTTCCACAGTGGGAGTGTGGCTTATTGTGAACTTAACCCAGAGCACTGTCTGTCACATACTCACATTCCTGCCAGGTCACTTGCCTGCCCGCCCAGCTCCCTCCCTGGACGTTGATAACCTCCCCCCACCAACTCCCCAAACAATGCCCTGTGACTACAAAGTGATGAGACTTATCTCCAGAGCCAGATCTGGAACTCTGTCTTGTTACTTTTCAGTCACACTGGGCATGTGACGCACTTGGAACACCTCAGAGGACAAGAGAGGTCAGAAAGGTGTCATGGTTTACTTAAAGGACTAAAACCTGTTAATCATGGCTAAGAGCAGGGAGGGGGGGAAAGGAAGGGGAAAGAAAGGAAAGGAGGAGGGAAGGAAGGAAGGGTGGGCAGTTGGCCACAAGTTACAAATTATCAAGAAGTCCGGCTCCTATTTTATATTAGTTTAAACCTAAATCATTTCCTCATTTGCTAGGACGGCTTACTTCCTTGGGATAAGCTTTTCGTTCAGTCTGAGGTGAGGAGGAATAACAAGTTGGCTAAAAAAAAAAAGAGTTTTCCTTTAAATTGTGGAAAAGCCTCGGAGAGAGAATCCCTTAGCAAAGCCACATCTTGTTCTGACAATCTTTGAAGCTCTTTACGTCTTAACTTCGTATTGAGTTCACCTTTGCATTTTTTGTTACTGTAATGACAACGTGACTTTCTCTCATGCCTTCCATTTTAACGTTGCTTTCCTCATTATAAATCATCTCATCATCATATTCTTACCCCAAGTGAAGAAAACCCTGGACAAAATGGGGGATACAAACTTAAACATTCACTTAATTCACTTCCACCCCTTCCCCAACTCTGTCAGCAGCCACAGGACCAAACAGAGCATCTTCCAGGCCCCACTCAGCACAATGGTCATCACCATATCAAAGAATTCCTTGGAGGTAATGTAGGCAATGGCAGCTTCCACCTGAAGTATCTGGACAAACGCCTGAAGCCACTGGCTAGCCAGGGCTTCTTGGAAAATAAAGGCCCCCCAAGGGTCACCTTTTGTTCTCTTCCGTGTGAATGAAACCCACCAGGTCCTGGAAACTGCCTGCCCACATTTGGTAGGTCATTCCTCCCTTGAAGAAATGGAATGAGGAGCCAGAGAAAAGGGCTCCTTCTCCCCCCAAAGTCAGCCTGGCTATGTCTCTCCTGGGCCACCTGGCCCCCCTCTGGTGCCTTTGTACAGCTGGTGTTGACATCAGGTTAATTACACAGTCTTGTGTTTACACACGGATCTCCAGAGAGGCAGGGAGCAAGTTAGCTGCACAGAGGTGAGTTGCAGAGCTCACTTCATTGACTTGTCCTTAGTCTGAAAAGTAGTCTTTCCAAACACCAGCTGGAGGGTGATGCACACACATCCCCAGGATACAGGCAAATAGCATCATCTCCTTGTTGTCAGTGAAGAAATGGGCACAAGGGAGAAGCTCCTAGCCCGAGGCCGCACAGCGAGCATGTCAGCCCCAGAGCCAAAGAGGACGGTGGGGCAGTGTTCCTCCGCTCCCACCCTGGGCACCTCCAGCTCCTCTGAACAACGTATACTCTTGGGGTATCTCGAAGCTTGACAAAGGGAAACAACACTGAACAGCGGGCATTTGCAAACCGCGGCACTGGTTGAGTGCTCACACCTTAGCTTTCTGAAACCTGTATCCAGATTATTGAGGGCCAGCCCTTTGGTGCGATATGTAAATGGATGCTTCCTGAGGGCAGGGAATTTTGATGTTTTCTTGGTTGCAGTATCCCCAGGGCCTAGACCTGTGCCTGGCTCAGAGCAGGGGCTCAATAAATCTGAGCTAAACGGTGACTGAATCTCGACAGCGTTCTGCTAGCCTTCGGCGCTAACAGCTGGGCCCTGTTTGCCCTTGGCCTTTGTGAACCCGGCACTCCTACCCACCTCAGGGATAAAGGCCATTTAAATGGGCTTTCCGTTGAACGTCCCTGAAGAAATCACAGAAGACCACATCCAGAATGGCCTCTATGCTACAGATTGTCTTATTAGTCTATTCTATACAAGTATATAGGAGTAGAGTGGTTTGTTCAAACTCCCTCTGTTTTCATTCCTGCTCTAAACTGATTTGTGTCCCACTCAAATTCATACGTTGAAGCCTCTCACCCCCAATGTGAGGGTATTTGGAGTGGGGCCCTTGGGTCGGGCCCTCTCGTTCTCTCCTCTCTCTCTCAATTTCTCTTCCTGATACAGTGACAAGATGGCCATCTGCAAACCAGAGAGAGGGTCCTCCCCAGAATCTGGTCATTTTGGCCAGAATCTGGCCCAATCTCAGACTTCCAGTCTCCAGAAACAGTGAGAAAATACATTTCTGTTGTTTGAGCCACCTGGTCTATGCTATTTTGTTACGACAGTCCAAGCTAACTAATACCCCGCGCTGGCTTTCCTACTAGAGCTGTGTCTCGGCCATAGGCACGCTGGTCGTCCTGTCCACAGGTCTCGGGCAGAACAGTTACATAGAGGGTTTACAGAGAAAGCCATGTCCTCACGATTGTGCCCTTAGCTCTGAAAAACTGAGCTGACACACAGGTTCTTGTTAGGTATGCATTTTAAGGGAAGACATTGTTAAAACTCTAAGTCAGGCCTGGCAAAATGAGCCTTTATGTGGGGCAGCTCTCCTAATTAGAGGGGCATTTTGTTTCAGAAGCAATCTCAGTGGATCCTATGAATGGGAATCATATCATCACTCCTCATTCCACTTGCTAGAAATTGTGTTTCTCTCTAGGCAACTGAAGTTATTTGTGGGAAAACTCCTATTTCCTGGGCAAAAAATCTAAAGTAGGCAGATGGATGTGTGATAACCTGTAAAGAAATACAGTGGAGAATCTTAAATTACCTTTTAAAAAATCTTGGACTTTTTTTACACACAAATATGCAGTTCATTTTTCTTTGAAGGGTATTTCACAGACGGTCTGGAAAATGCAGAAATGTGAAAAGGAGGAGCATCTTAAACCCTTCCGATCAATTTTGGTCCTTACATCTTAGAAATCATAAGTATCAAAGAAACTCTGATTGTCTCTAGTCACGTCCAGTTGGGCATCACACTTTCCTCCAGCTTTGGAGAGGGCACTGGTTCAATGCCCAGGCTAGCAGGGGTTCTGCTAGCCCTCAGAGGGCCCTGTGTGACTAGCAGGCCATTTTGTTAAGTGTTACAGGATTTGGAAGTTGGCACCCCTAGAGCCTGGGCCTGAAAAGAAACCACTTGGCAGACTCGGGAACATTCTCCTGAAGCTGGTGCTGCTGGTTCTGTCCCACACGGGATAACCCCGTCCTGCCACATTCTTCCACAGAGTCAGAAGTTCACTAGGTCCCTGGGCTTGCCCCGAGAGCAGAGCAGGGAACTCCATGAAAGGCCACCAAGAATGAATTCCCTGGAGGTGGTATGTCTGCCGAGGAAGGAGAGAGCGGCCACCAGAGACGTCTTCGGACAACCGCTCCGCAGTGGCTGCTTCCTGGAGTATCTGGAGATGTGAAGGACCATGCCCGGGGTGCCTGGAAAACTGCTCACACACAGCCATCCCGCCGGAAGTGGGGGCCAGCTAGAAGACTTGTCCTTGAAAGAGCACTTATTTCATAGCACTTTCAGCTTGAGAAAACATTAACTGTTCATTGAAGGCATTGGGGAAGTGACAGTAATGGGGAGTATGGGGGTCTAAACCCCAAAAGCCACCTGCCTGGCATGGCACTGATGTATGAAAGACAAGATGCAATTGTATATGAGAAACCGAGTGGCAGACTTCTCCAAGAATTCTGAGAAATGCCCATTCTTCAGCAGTGAACACGAACCTACTTCACGTATTTAATTAATCAAGACTGAGAAAGATTTTCCAGTGGGAAAATTCACACGCATCCCCTGTATCTCCCAGAATATATAACGTCTAGAAAGCTCCAGTGACGTTTTCATGTCTTCCCGGTGCCACGCCAGCGAAGGGGCGGCAAGAAATGTTTATACCAACAGTCATTGCCAAAGTTTTCCTCACAGCTGAATCTAATTAATTAGGCCTCGCCAAACCTGCCAGCCCCACCCAGGACCCAGCCGAAGAACCTTAGAGGATTTAGAAACACCCCTTTGACAAACACTCATTTATTACTACCTGTATTCAGTGAATCACCTCGACAGCAGATACCGCCTTCCAGAACTTCCTCAAAACAGAGTGCTTTGTAAACTAAAAGTCAAAGTCCTCTACTTTATTTTTCATCAAGGGATATCTTTCTGTTCTCTAATAGTCATAGCAATAGTGCTCGATACTCTTCAAACGCTTTACAAATATTAATTTTTATTCCACTTTGACTCATATTTTGCCCAGAACCAAGGACAGTGCAATTAATTTTCTTCAGTTCCATGTCAAAGGATGAGTTAGTCCCCACCAGCCGCATTTGTTTTCCCTGAATGGTGTGAGAATTATTTTTTCTCCAAAGCCTATAACGTTTCCAGAATGGGTTAGAAACTCCTCTGAGCAGCACTACCCCCCCACCCCCCCGCCTTCCTTGGAGGGCTCTGTAAAGTTATTCCAGAGCAAACTCACATTCGTGGGTACTAAGGGTACCTTTGGACCGAGAGTTTCTTTCGACACACATGTATGGCGTGCTGATTCCACGCCAGGTACTGTTCAAAGTACTGGGTAACAGCATAAATGGTCATGTCCCTGCTCTCCTCAGGTTCATCTTCTAGTGCGGGGTGGCAGGGTAGGGGGAAAAATAAACAAATAAACAAAGAAGTAATTTCTGGTAGTGACAAGTGGTAGGAAGACAACACAAAGGATAATGGAGAGTGACTGGGGATGTGTGTGTTGGATGGTCAGGGAAGATTTGCTTAGGGAATAGCAGTTTAGTTGAGACCTGAATGATAATATTATGTTAACTGTGTCATGTTCTGTCAGATATACTTCTCTATTTTTTTTAAGATTTTATTTATTTAGAGACAGAGAGAGCGTGCACATGCACGCTCGTGTGCAAGCAGGAGGAGGAGCAGAGGGAGAGAATCTCAAGCAGACTCTCCACCAAGCCAGTTGCCCTACGTGGGGCTCAATCCCACAACCCCAAGATCATGACCTGAGCCGAAATCAAGAATCACACACCCAACTGACTGAGCCACCCAGGCACCCCTATACCTCTCTATTTTTATTTTTATTTTTATTTATTTTTTTTAAAGATTTTATTTATTGGAGAGAGAGAGCATGAGAGGGGAGAGGGTCAGAGGGAGAAGCAGACTCCCCACCGAGCGGGGAGCCCGACGTGGGACTCGATCCTGGCACTCCAGGATCATGACCTGAGCCGAAGGCAGTCACTTAACCAACTGAGCCACCCAGGCGCCCTATACCTCTCTATTTTTAAAGCAACTCCACAAAGACAAATACTCAAATAGAGCAGAGAGTGATTAGGAAAGTATTGTCCTGTCATACATTTTGGTTTTTGAGTGGGAGGAGATATGTGGAGAATAATGGTAAATTGATTGTCTCTAAGGAGGTCAACATTGCAGTATCTACCAAAATTTAAAATGCACCATCCTGGGGCTCAGGTCATGATCTCAGTGTCCTGGGATCGAGCCCCGCGTCGGGCTCCCTGCTCGGCGGGAAGCCTGCTTCTCCCTCTCCCACTCCCCCTGCTTGTGTTCCCTCTCTCGCTGTGTCTCTCTCTGTCAAATAAATAAATAAAATCTTTAAAAAAAAATTTTTTTTTAATTCACTGTCCTTTGGCCCAACAACCCCACTTCTAGGACTTTCGTCTATAGAAATAATGGCACATATGCATGAATGCACACATATATATGTTTGTGTGTGTGTGTGTGTGTGTATAGATAGATAGATGATGCATAGATAGATAGATATTCACCACAGCACAGCTTGTAGTAGCAAAAGACTGCAAACAACGCAAAAGTTCATCAGTAAATTTTAGAACATCCATAGCAAAGAATGCTTTGCAATCATTAAAAAGAAAGAGGTTGAGCTCCAAGATGAACTAAGTGAAGAAAAGCAATGTGCAGGAACCATGTGTTCAATATACTATCACCTTTTAAAATATCTATACACAGGGGCGCCTGGGTGGCGTTAAGCGTCTGCCTTCGGCTCAGGTCATGACCCCAGGGTCCTGGGATCGAGCCCTGCATCTGGCTCCCTGCTCGGGGGGTTGGGGGGAGCCTGTTTCTCCCTCTCCCACTCCCCCTGCTTGTGTTCCCTCTCTCGCTGTGTCTCTCTCTGTCAAATAAATAAAATCTTTAAAATAAAATAAAAAGGGGCGCCTGGGTGGCTCAGTTGGTTAAGCGACTGCCTTCGGCTCAGGTCATGATCCTGGAGTCCCTGGATCGAGTCCCACATCGGGCTCCCTGCTCGGCAGGGAGCCTGCTTCTCCCTCTGACCCTCCCCCCTCTCATGTGCTCTCTCTCTCTCATTCTCTCTGTCTCAAATAAATAAATAAAATCTTAAAAATAAATAAATAAATAAATAAATAAATAAAATAAAATATCTATACACACATACATATTATCTTTGGAGGGGGATACAAGAAACTGATAGCAGTTTTTGCCTTAGCAAGGGGAGGCTCTCTATATTCTTTTGTGACACTTGCATTTTTTATGTATTGCATGTCTTAGCTAGTTAATAAACATGTTTTGACCATCCAAGCTTCACAGTATAAACAAGTATGTAATATTCATACAAAATTCTCTTCATGTGTCCCGATCCAGCCAGAACGAGTTTTAAATGTTCAAAGTGCCAAAGCTCCTAAAGTTAGTTGTGTTGTCAACTTGCTGACTGGCTCAACATCAGGACACTTCACAGCCTGGGTTTGGTTGGGGTTCTGGGAGAGTAAGTTTATGAAATGTTCCAGAAAAGGCATTTTCTTTTACGACAAACATCCTTTTGGGAAGACTGTGCACTCATTTCTGATCCATTCAAATATCTGAACAATTGACCTGACTGGTGTTCAGAGAGAGAACCGAAAAAAATACGATTTGTCTTTAAAAATACTTCCCAGTACACCTGAAACTAATATGATACTCTATGTTAACTAACTGGAATTAAAATAAAAACTTAAAAAAAGAACAGAAAAAAAAAAAAATACTTCCCAGTGCCTATACGATACTTTCATTTCCCTCCTTCTAAGTTAGAACAGACCTTGTTTTCTAAGAATGAACTTGTTCCAACAAGAATGTTTTTCTTAGCTCTCACAGCTATTTCATGTTCTGGTCCATTTGTGATTATGGGCTGATAAGAGTCGTCAGCTACTAGTAAAATTTTAAGAAATATGATGAAAATCAAATGTTTTTCAGATGTCTGTATTCCAAGCACCGTCTCTGCGGTTTCCTACAATGCTGTGCCGGGGAAGAACAGCAAGTAAGACTTAGAACCTCTACTCTCCTGGGAATAAAATCTGCCCCATGTTAAATAAATCATTTATACATATAAAAGTTTTATTTAAAAGAAAATGTGCCATCAATAATCTGAAATAGCCATGGAAATGACATTCAGTATCTATTTTAAAAATGCATTAAATATGTATCTAGTCGAATCACGGGGAGCTAACTAGCTTGTAGGCAAAATTTCCATCAGCTGCAAGGTGGATGTGAGAATGCATGCAGGGGCAGAGCCTGGGGACTTGGTAGAGTGGCCTGCGGTTTGAGTCTCAGTGGGGCTGCAAAAAGGAGAAATGGCTCATTAGAAAAAGCCCTGGTAACACCCCAAAGGACAGTTGCATGTGAAGCTGAGTCAGAGCACAACCTGACCGAGGAGGGGCAAACAGGACAGAAACAGCTCACCAGAAACACGTGGACAGCAGCTTTGAAAGCTCCATTCAAGCCGTGAATGTCACCAGTTCTTGGCAGAGCCTACCCCTCTGCGGAGCCGGGTGTGGATGAAAGGTGTTTCTGAACGCTGGCTTGCAGGCCGTTGGTCTTGACAGCGGCAGGAGCTCCGGGAGAGAAGGGCAGAGTCAACATTGTAGGAGGCCTCTCCCGGCGGCAGCCCTGTCATCAGTGCGGGCACAACCTGATCACTGGCGAGGAAGTTATTAAAAAGTGGGTCACTGCAGAGGGTAGCCTAACTAAGGATCAGGGTCCCTCGCCCTCGGGATCGGGTTTCAGGCGAGGCTTCTGTGGCTCTTGAGGACACACTCTCTGGTATTCTTGGAGGAGGGAGGGAAAGCGTTGTGGTGTGGGCACTGGCAAGTGGAGATGGAGAGAGAGAAAAAGAGAGAATGATTCAGACAGGACTCTAGAAATGGAGACTGATTCACCACGACCAAGTGGGATTTATCCCTCAGCTGCAAGGTTGGTTCAACATCCGCAAATCAATCAATGTGATACAATGCATTAACAAAAGAAAGAACAAGAATCATGTGATCCTCTCAATAGATGCAGAAAAAGCATTTGACAAATACAGCATCCTTTCTTGATCAAAACTCTTCAGAGTATAGGCAGAGAGGGTACATACCTCAATATCATAAAAGCCATCTATGAAAAACCTACAGCGAATATCATTCTCAATGGGGAAAAACTGAGAGCTTTCCCCCTAAGGTCAGGAACGCGGCAGGGATGCCCACTATCACCACTGCTATTCAACATAGTATTGGAAGTCCTAGCCACAGCAATCAGACAACAAAAAGAAATAAAAGGCATCCAAATCGGCAAAGAAGAAGTCAAACTCTCACTCTTTGCAGATGATATGATACTTTATGTGGAAACCCCCAAAGACTCCACCCCAAAACTGCTAGAACTCATACAGGAATTCAGTAAAGTGGCAGGATATAAAATCAATGCACAGAAGTCAGTAGCATTCCTATACACCAACAACAAGAGAGAAGAAAGAGAAATTAAGGAGTCGATCCCATTTACAATTGCACCCAAAACCATAAGATACCTAGGCATAAATCTAACCAAAGAGGCAAAGGATCTGTACTCAGAAAACTATAAAATACTCATGAAAGAAATTGAGGAAGACACAAAGAATGGAAAAATGTTCCATGCTCATGGATTGGAAGAACAAATATTGTGAAGATGTCAATGCTACCTAGAGCAATCTACACATTCGATGCAATCCCCATCAAAATACCATCCACTTTTTTCAAAGAAATGGAACAAATAATCCTAAAATTTGTATGGAACCAGAAAAGACCCCGAATAGCCAGAGGAATGTTGAAAAAGAGAAGCAAAGCTGGCGGCATCACAATTCCGGACTTCCAGCTCTATTACAAAGCTATAATCATCAAGACAGTACGGTACTGGCACAAAAACAGACCCATAGATCAATGGAACAGAATAGAGAGCCCAGAAATGGACCCTCAACTCTATGGTCAACTAATCTTTGACAAAGCAGGAAAGAATGTCCAATGGAAAAAAGACAGTCTCTTCAACAAATGGTGTTGGGAAAATTGGATAGCCACATGCAGAAGAATGAAACTGGACCATTTCCCTACACCACACACAAAAATAGACTCCAAATGGTTGAAAGACCTCAATGTGAGACAGGAGTCCATCAAAATCCTAAAGGAGAACACAGGCAGCAACCTCTTTGACCTCAGCCGCAGCAACTTCTTCCTAGAAACATCGCCAAAGGCAAGGGAAGCAAGGGCAAAAATGAACTATTGGGACTTCATCAAGATAAAAAGCTTTTGCAAAGCAAAGGAAACAGTCAACAAAACCAAAAGACAACCGACAGAATGGGAGAAGATATTTGCAAATGACATATCAGATAAAGGGCTAGTATCCAAAATCTATAAAGAACTTATCAAACTCAACACCCAAAGAACAAAGAATCCAATCAAACAATGGGCAGAACACATGAACAGACATTTTTCCAAAGAAGACATCCAAATGGCCAACAGACACATGAAAAAGAGCTCAACATCGCTCAGCATCAGGGAAATCCAAATCAAAACCTCAGTGAGATACCACCTCACACCAGTCAGAATGGCTAAAATGAACAAGTCAGGAAACGACAGATGTTGGCGGGGATGCGGAGAAAGGGGAACCCTCCTACATTGTTGGTGGGAATGCAAGCTGGTGCAGCCACTTTGGAAAACAGTATGGAGGTTCCTCAAAAAGTTGAAAATAGAGCTACCCTATGATCCAGCAATTGCACTACTGGGTATTTACCCCAAAGATACAAAAGTAGGGATCCAAAAGGGTACGTGCACCCCGATGTTTATAGCAGCAATGTCCACAATAGCCAAACTGTGGAAAGAGCCAAGATGTCCATCGACAGATGAATGGATAAAGATGTGTTGGGGCGCCTGGGTGGCTCAGTTGGTTAAGCGACTGCCTTCAGCTCAGGTCATGATCCTGGAGTCCCAGGATTGAGTCCCGCATCGGGCTCCCTGCTCGGCAGGGAGCCTGCTTCTCCCTCTGACCCTCCCCTCTCTCATGTGCTCTCTCTCTCATTCTCTCTGGCTCAAATAAATAAAATCTTTTAAAAAATTAATTAATTAATTAATTAAAAAAAAGAAGACGTGGTATATATATACAATGGAATATTATGCAGCCATCAAAAGGAATGAGATCTTGCCATTTGCAACGACATGGATGGAACTGGAGGGTATTATGCTGAGCGAAATAAGTCAAACAGAGAAAGACATGTACCATATGACCTCACTGATATGAGGAATTCTTAATCTCAGGAAACAAACTGAGGGTTGCTGGAGTGGGGGGTGGGGTGGGAGGGATGGGGTGACTGGGTCATAGACACTGGGGAGGGTATGTGCTCTGGTAAGCGCTGTGAATTGTGCAAGACTGTTGAATCTCAGATCTGTACCTCTGAAACAAATAATGCAATATATGTTAAGAAAAAAGAAAAGAAGAAGATAGCAGGAAGGGAAGGATGAAGGGGGGGAAATTGGAGGGGTAGACGAACCATGAGAGATGATGGACTCTGAAAAACAAACTGAGGGTTCTAGAGGGGATGGGGGTGGGAGGATGGGTTAGCCTGGTGATGGGTATTGAGGAGGGCACTTTCTGCATGGAGCACTGGGTGTTATGCACAAACAATGAATCATGAACACTACATCTAAAACTAATGATGTAATGTATGGGGATTAACATAATAAAAAAAATAAAAGTAAAAAAAACAAAAATAAAAAAATAAAAGTAAAAAAAATAGAAATGGAGACTGAAAGTGGCTCTGTCCTAGGGAGGGGCTCCTCTATTACAGGCAGCAAATATATCTGTGGAGATCAGAGTCACACGTGGGAATAATCTTGGATTTCAACTTGGATTTTCCACCTTCCATTTGTGAGATCCTTCTAGGGAGTCACTCCGCTCGGAATCAGATGACTTTCCTCACGAAATGTATATATGTCTCTAAGGTCATGGTCTTAGTACTAATGATTGAAGCTATAGATTTATTATTTGTTAATTTGTCTTAGGATCATAGAGTTGGAAGGTGCAGTAGAGATCTAACTCACTCACTTTACAGATGAGGAAACTGAGGCCTGGAAACGTTAAGTAACTTGGATAAAGCTCTCTGGAAAGCTGGGGATAGAATTTATGTTTTCTTTCTATGAGCAGAGTCCTTTGCTATTTAAAAAGTAATTTTCTGCTTACACATTCTACTCATACCTCTATTCGCTCTCTTTCAAACTGTGTGGTCCATTTCCCTGCCCCAAAGAGAAGTGATTATGTTGATTCAGCAGAAAATTTCAGAAAGCTGAGCTGAGAGAGGGGGAGTGAGGAGAGCGAGAGAGAGAGAGAGAGAGGGAGAGGGAGAGAGAGAGAGAGAGCAAACCTATATAAGGGCCCACCAAGCTTAATGTGACCAAAGGTAATCTTAATTGACAAATAATGTCCAGATTTAACAACACTTTAGTCCTAAACTGACAGCAGCTCACATATGTGACATACAGATGATAAGATTAACCCATGTCTTCAGGGGAAGCCATGCCTGCCGAAAACCATCAGCTGGCGATGTCTTGACATGATTTGAGATTCTGCACTTAATCATTGCAGGGAACATTCATGTGGCACCAAGGGAGAAGGAATTTGGCATTTACCAGTTTAGTAGGTCTGAACAAACCACATAATTTGGCATTAAGTAGATTGTGTTTTGCCAGAATTTTCCAGCCTCTCAGTCTGTATTGATCAAATCAACGAAATTATTACCAGTCTGGCTATCTGGGAAAAGACAATTTAAAAACCTGGTGCCTCGGGGCGCCTGGGAGGCTGTCGGTGAAGTGTCTGCCTTCAGCTCAGGTTGTGATCTTAGGGTCCTGGGATCGAGCCCCGCATCAGGGTCCCTGCTCAGCGGGAAACCTGCTTCTCCCTCTTCGTCTCCCTCTGCCGCTCTCCTCCCACTCATGTTCTCTCTCTCTCTCAAGTAAAATAAAATCTTTAAAAATAAAAAAACCTGGTGCCTCACCTTACATATCCTCATGTAACTCATCTCCTGGTGATGGGGACATGTCCCATTCTACTGAGTCACAGTGATTTCCTCCTTCCCTCACTTGGGGTGGGGCTGCAATGCCCAGCGACACTTTGGGGACATATCCTGCCTTATATGTTTATGTGTCTATCTTAGCTAATTTTAAATTAATCTTATGCCTTAAGAATGGGACCCAAAATCCTGTGGCTCTTCTGCGCATCTGCACCCGCTCACTCACCGAACATTATTACTGAGTGCTCACAACACCTGGTTTCTAAAGAAGGTACTAAAGATACAAAGATACACTCAAAGAGCTCCCAGCTTCGTCTACCCCAAAGTGTAGTGTGGTAAAGGTGTGACAGACGTGGTCTGGATGGCCATTAGAAAGTCTCTCCAAAGGCCACAGGCCCTGTTTGTTTCTTCTTCCCTTAGTTCGTCTCTGTACTTCTAGACCTTCATCCTCGAAGGCAACCATGCCATCATATTGATGCCTCCCCCCTCTGAGAGGGGGCTAGCGTTAGAGACAGTAAAGGTCCCACACACCCTCTCCTTCATTTCACCTCCCGTGCTTATCCCAGTGACCTACTTTTGTGGGTAGATGTGCAGAAGCTTGAAGTCATCTCAAAAGTGGGGTATGAACAATGATCAATGAAGATGAGGGACAAAAATATTGAAACAACTATTTACATCCATTTTTGTCTAAAAAATTTTAAAGAAAAATCTTAAGGGTCTCCAACTTTTCACTTTTCTGACACTGGCACCCTAAGAGGCCTGTCCGTTGGATGGGCACCTGTCACGTGCAGTCACCTGAGTGCCCTCAGGAAAGAGCGAGGGGTTCCCTGAGCAGAGGGAGGCAGCTGCACTCTTGTCCCTTTCAGAGTACTGCAACCTATCCCAGATTTGTGCTTGGTAGAGTGGGTTTAAAGATGATAACATCCTAAGTCTAGGGTTGGCAAACTATGGCCACAGCCAAATCCAGTCTGATGCCTCTTTTTGTAAATAAAATGTTACTTATACAGTCACACTCATTGGTTTACATATTGTCTATGGCTGCTTTCAGACAACGAGAGCAGAGTTGAATAGTTGCAACAGAGACTGCATGGCCTGAAAAACCTAAAATATTTGCAAGCAAGCCCTTTACAGAAAATATTTGCCAAAACCTGTCTCAAATAGTTCAATTTTTGTTAAAATTTGTAAGATGGGTTGTGGCCACAAAAATCTTTATATCACACCTAGATTCACTGGTTATCTCGTGACAAAGTTCTTCAATGAAAGGTGAAATTAAAGATCAGTTATACATTTTTATTTTATGAAACCTCTAATGTTTCAAAGTTGCTGACCTTGTTTTCTGATGACAAGTAGCTGATTCTAGTGACCTAGAATATTTTGGAAAAAAAACACACACACACAAACCAAAAACCTCCACACATTTCAACTATATTTTCAAGTGAAAATTTCACTTTTAAAAGAGAGAGAAATATTTATGCATTTCACAAGAAACCTGTGAGAGAGCATTTTGAAAAAGAATATTTTGATATGTTTCCATTTTATGTTATTCTGCTTCTTTGAAAAAGGGTAAAGGTATCACATAAAAATGTTCACCTATGCATTCTCAGAAACAGAAGTAGAATTTTCTTGTTTAAACACCATCTAAATGAAGTTTCAATGGAATTTGAAGCTGTATGGTAAAAATATAAAAATATAGTATATATAATATATACAATATAAATTAAAACGTGGTATTTTTATATTAGTTTGCAAGACTAACTGATTGACATCTGGAAATAGGAATATTTACTAGCTGAAGTATAGTCAGTGATGGACTTCTATTGGCTATAAGTACCTTTGTGATATACTTTTCTCAGCTATTATTAGTAGTACTTTTTTAGTGAGAACAAAAACATTTGTGTATATTTAATAAATATAAAAACATTACATTTCTTGTTTTTAAATTTTTTTATCTTTTGTTTTACATTTTTACTTCATCTTTTTCTTGTTTTATTTCTATTTTCATGTCTATCTTGTAATATATATATAATCTATTAGTGGAAAAGAAGATATATATAATTTATGAATAAATAAATACATGTACAATAGGGTATGCTCCCCCAAGTTTTTAATGATAGGAATGTATCATCACAATGTTTGGAGACCACTGATTCTGACTGCAAATTTGGAATTTAGCATACAGATTTAAATAAAGCTCCACCACTCACTGGCTACATTCTCTTGATCAAACTAATTTGTTATAGGCTTTATTTTCTCAACTGTAAATTGAGATAAGGCCCAGCAGGCACTTAAATACAGAGCCTAACATACAGCAAATGTTCAATAATTATCAAGTGTTCAATAAACATGAGTAAATATTACTGTACCTAAATATCTCCAAGTTCTCCAGCCTTCTTTAATATCCCAAAAAATTACTCAGTTCCTCCCATTGCACTTATTTATGGGAAGGCCAGTATATGCCCCTGAATTTCTACAGAGGGGACTTACAATTTTTTGGTAGTGACAACCAGTAGTGGTTGCTCAATATCCCTCTCCAGGCTCAGGTGTCTATCACCTGGAGGCTTCTGTCCTATTCCTTCTTTACATGACTCCAAGAGCAGCTTCTTCTGAGCATTCCTTAAGACTCAAGGCTCTTGGAAGACTTTACTCATGACTTGGGGAGAACACAAGGTAAATATAGTTCAGAACAGGAAACAACTCCAAATGTAGGTATCACACTACACCCTTCCTAAGTTTATGGACCGCTGCCCACTGCTGGGAATGTTCTACTTATTCTGTCCAGCCTAAGGCCTGGCCTACCTCTCTGTTGTTGGCCCTATTTTTTTCTTTTTGAGAACTTTCTGCCTTCTTAACTCTTCCTTCAGGGTCCAGCCCCAGTTCCTCAGGCTCTCTGTTAGGCCAAGGCCTTAAGCATGGCTGCACTCTGGGCATTAAAGTCCTCCAGGAGTACCGGTCACACTGATGAGTGGATGCTCCCTGGAGTTGTAGAGTAAGGCAGCCCTGATGCTCTCCGTCAGCAGTGGAGGTGGATTAAAAAAAACCACTTCATTTTCAAAATCAAGAAGCCCACTGAAATAGGAAACCATTCACCGCAGGTCTCTGTCTTTTGCTAAACAATCAATAGAATCTTGTGAGTTTGCTGCTTTTCTTTCCTAACTCCAAAGTAATCAGACTGAATTCTGAGGCAGGGATCAAGGTCAAAACTTGTGTACTTCCCTTCTAAGAGTTTTTACAGTGGAGTAAGGCCATAAAAATGTATTACCCCCACTTTCTTTTTTAGCTCAGGTCCTAGAGGTCTTGATTTCTCTCCCTTTCCACCACCACCAGGACAAAGAGCAACAACACTATCACCACCACCACCACCATCATGACCTACATGAGCACCTTGACCACGAACATCACGATCACCATTACCACCATAACCATCACCACGTTCCTCCTGTATCAGCCCTGTGTCGCCATTGCTACCATCACCAGCATCACAATCACCATCAACATGAAGGACCACCATCATCAGCCCAGTCATCACGATCACCACCGCTGTAGCCATCACTAGTTCCTCGTTGGCTTTCCTGAGGCCCTATGGTAATTCTGTGAAAAGTTGCCACAGCTTTCTAGAGTTCCTTTTTTTGGAAAGCCTATAGGCATGTCTGCCAGCTCTCTTTTCCCACTTTTTTTGCTTATCAAATATGCCCCTGTTTCTGGGAAGGATAGAACAAAACTCATGTCCCAGTCCTGATTTCTTGCTCCCATACAGTCCAACTACAGGCTCTGATGTTGGCCTCTTCAGACTTGGGGCTGATCCTGAGTCTTGTCAAACATATGGTTGCAGTTCAGTAATACTGTTTCTATCCTTACCATCCTATTGTCTCCCTGTGTCTCCAGAAAAACTCCCTGCTCTATTTCCTGGCCCTGGGAGGGGGCCGGGGGAGGGGTTCCACGATCCTGACAACACTAACTTGAAAAAGAGGGATGGGAATTATAAGTGACCCCCTTGCCTTTAGGGGCTTCTTTATGCCCTTGGTCATCCTATGACAGAAAACCCCAAAGTCAGAAAAGTTTTCCATCCACTTGGCATCCCAATAAGAGGCTGACTATCTGCTACTCTTGGAACCAGTTGGTCTCTTGTCTACTCTGCCCTCTGATGGGAGGCTTCTATTAAACCAGAACAGCAAGGAGAAGATTGCCTTTCAACTGGTGGGTGTATCAGTGCAATGGTGGAACCCTTTGCATAATGGCCTCATGATCTACCACTGCCCTCAGAGAAAATAGAAGCATTGCAGCTTGCCTTCACAAATAATATCAGTACAAAGGCATAGCCTTCCTAAAGGCTTTCAGTTTTCTTTTTGAGTTGAATATGGCCTCATATAGGACAGGGAGGGAAAGGAAATCAGATTTTAGAAAGTAATAATAGACTTTCCCTGTAATTAGGAGCACAATTACAGTAGAGGCTAGAAGCAAATATTTGATACAGTACCTGGACATCCTAAGTAACAAATCAAATGAACTAACTTTGGTTCAATTATTTAGATGGAATGAAAATGGTATATAGTGTAAGTGGCCGCAGGCTAGAAGGAAGGTTCTACTGGACAACTAGGCCATTCACTTACACAGAGTCTATGGCTGCTTTTGTGCTATAGGGGCAGAGTTGAGTAGCTATGAGATTTTGTATGACCCACCAAGTCTATAATACTTACTGTCAACCTCTTTATACAAAAAGTTCATCAACCCTTGCTTTAAGTAATGAATAATTTTATTTTCCAGGAGCTGGCAGGAACTGGTTTTTCTTTGTGTCATAGAAGTAAAGCCTGATACCCCAGTTAGGGCATCAGAAGTAGGGTGGAGTGGAGGCAAGGTTCCTACATAGCCTGCTGGATCTGAGGACATTTAGTTCTGATAATAGACAAAGTAGCCTTCCAACCTTCAGTCTAGTTTACCATATTAGAGATTGGAGACAAGACCCCAACTAATAATAGTTTATTTGCTTTGCTTCCTTTGGACAAATACCTCCTCAAAGATTTTGTGAGAAGTTGAAGTGACTGATCCAAAGCAGAACCGGGCACACCCAGAATTGGGTTTTCCTGGGTTTCTATCAGAATACTGCCTGGTAAGGCCTTAATTCCACCAGATGTTTGCCTGCATTAATGGAGAAAGTTAGTTGAGTGTGCTTGCTGCTAATGATTTAAATTTCTCCTCTCTGAGTAGGCTTATCTCAACATCAATCACAAGCTCACGCCTGTAATATCCCAGCAAAACTGAAGGATGAGTCCTTTTCTGATGCTGCCCATTGCCAATCCCACTTCCCCTCCCAAATTCTGAGTGAGAACCCGACTTTCATAGCAGTCCCATAAAGCTAGAGGGTTGGCTTTGACGCTGAAAGGTAAGGTGGAGAGTTAATTTATTGTTTTCATTATATTCTGCTTACCTGTATTTTATCTTTGTAGTTTACACTTTTAAAATTTTTTACTAGGGTTGTAATGAACACTGGGTATTATATAAGACTCATGAATCACAGACTGGTACCCCTGAAACAAATAATACATTATATATTAACTAATTGAATTATAAATAAATAAATAAAATGTAGAGAATTAAGAAAATTAAGAGAGAGGGGCAGGTGCCTGGCCACGTCAGTAGAGCATACGACACTTGATCTCATGTTGTGAGTTCAAGCCCCACATTGGAAGCAGAGTTTACTTTAAAAAAAAGAAGAAAGAAAATTGAGAGTAATGTGAGATAACCTTGGAAAAAAGGCCACACATGAAAAAAGAAAAAATAAAAAGAAGAAAAAAAAATTAAAAAGTAAAATATACATCAGATTTTGAAGACTAATTTTGAAAAAAAGAATGTAAATTATCTTAATTTTTTATATTTATTACATATATGTCAAATAAAATATATATTAAAATAAAATTTTTTTTACTAAGAAGTAGGAGTTTATGAGTCTAAAACCGAAGAAAATGTATGCTTTAACTTTGTAGGGTTTATCCCTACTCCCAAATATAGATCTTCAATTTGGCCTCATTTGAGTCCTTGACTCAAGTAAAAAGAAGTCAGTATTATTATCGTGGTATGTATTCTACATGAATTCTCCTTTAATCCTTATATAGACCATGAGGTTATTTATTATAAGGAAATGGAATCTTAAGAGATGCTAACCTGCTCAAGTTACCCCACATGGAGATAATGATGCTAGGATTCCAACCTAAGTAACATAATGGTTTTTGTTCCTGCCCCCCATGCTGCATAGGCCTTCTTGTCAGTCCATTAGGAAGACCAAAGTTTCACATTAAAAATAGCTCCATTTAGAATCTGGAAGTTTCAAAGACCAGACGTAGTAAATCCAGCTTTATGTCAGTTTGTAAGCTTTCTGGAACAATGGTTTTCCTTCCATAACCATTTGGTCTTTAAGGAAATGGATACCTAGGGTCTTTGTGAAATAGATTGGAAAACTTCCTAAGGAGTGCCCTTTAATGCAATCCCTCAACTTAACCTTGAAAATCAGTATGTGTGACAGATAATTACTGTTTTTTCTCCCCAACAGCCACCTTCCTTCTTCCTAACAAAATCCCAATCTTGTTCAGGTCTGGGTGACAGCTTGCTTAATGGATCACTCACTTGCCCTACGGTGTGAATGTTGGTTAGTTCTAATTATTCATAGTGATTCTGTCTTACTTGCTAGGGATTGGTTTAGGCATGGACACATGATAAAACCTGGGACAATAATACAAAAATGGCAGACCACTGGGGTGCTTTTGTAAGGTTTTTCCAACTTTTGACATTGAAAAAAAAAAAAGGCCCTAGATGAAGCTCATCCCTTCCTATTTTTGGATGTTGCAAATGAAATATAGTGTTTGAGGCTAGAACAATAACAGTGAGGGGAGAACCAAGGGAATTACACAGAATCCTTGGAAATATTGCACTTTTGAATTAATCAGTGTTGAAATAACCTGTTCTGGATTTGTTATGATAAAGAATTCATTATATTCATTATGATTTAAAACATCATTATGCATTTTTACCAAAACAATCTGATTACCCTGATCCTTTCCACAAGACTCTTCGGAAGAAAGTACAACAGAGAAAAGAAAAGCTAGGTGGATGTCCCTTTCTTCAAAGCCAAAGCTCAATGTGGTCTTTTTGTAAGAAGTTCCTGAATACAAGAAAACAAGACACTTAGGAGTGGAGTTATTCTTAATAAGATTTGAGACTTCAACGAAATCTTTACAAAGACAAGGGTTTCTGATATTCCTTAACAAAAAGAGGCTGAAAAAAACCCCTGTACTTTGCTAAGGCAAAGGAAGCTACTCTAGATCATGGAGCACAGTCCCCTTTCAAGGAGGAATTCCCAGGGTTCTAGAAGCTAGTCAACAAATGTTTTCTAAATAGCTGTGTACTCTTTCCTATATAAGAACAAAAGATCACCCAAAGGGGGCTTGAGTCTGTAAAACCCACTCTTAGACAATTCTCAGGTCATGATCCCAGGGTCCTGAGATCGAGCTCTGTGGCAGGCTCCCTGCTCAGTGGGGAGCCTGCCTCTCCCTCTCCCTCTGCCTGCTGCTCTCCCTGCTTGTGCTCGCTCTCTCAAATAAAATCTTGAAAAGAAAGAAAGAAGTTACATTTATGAGTGGTTGGAACTAAAGCTGTAGTTACTGGGTTCATTTAGCTTAGATCCTTAAGACCAATGCTAATTAGATTTATGGTTGCTACTCCTAAGTGGGACATTTCATTGCACTCAGCTTAGAAATTATGACTTAAATTCTCGATGAAGGTACTATGAAATACAGACCTTTAAGTAGGGTCTTCATTAGAAAAGGGTGGGTTAATGCCCCAAATCCATCACTGCTGCTCAAAAACCGATTTAGAAACTGATGAGCACTGAAGAGTCCCTTATTATCACGAGAAGCATCTGTTTAGTGTATGTTTGCCACTCACATATATTAGATGCAGTCTTTACTGTACTGTGAAACACTATGAAGGGCAGCTGATGCATCTAAACAGAAGGCCTGCCAAACGATAATTTGGCACCTAAAACTTGCCAGGTATTAGAAGGGTTAGAGGCTCTTGAACACTAGTTTGAGCCCCTTAGTGGTCTGACTTAAGGCTCTTTAAAGATTGGATACAATTGGGGCGCCTGGGTGGCTCAGTCGTTAAGCGTCTGCCTTCGGCTCAGGTCATGATCCCTGGGGGTCCTGGGATCGAGCCCCGCATCGGGCTCCCTGCTCAGTGGGGAGTCTGCTTCTCCCTCTCTCTCTGCCTGCCTCTCTGCCTACTTGTGCTTTCTCTCTGTCAAATAAATAAATAAAATCTTTAAAAAAAAAAAAGATTGGATACAATTAAGGAGATATATACAGTTATAAAAATTGAATATAGAAATAGTTTAGCCCAGTGGCTTCTAGCCTGTTGGCTATAAACTCTAGCAGCATATGGGAGTTATTGTAAGTATCCCATTAATCCATTTGAGCACCAAATGCTGTCTGTAGACTATATCCTACATATCAAACACAGATATGGCTGTGATAAGTAACACAAATTTTCATTAAAAGACCACTGAATTCATAGAAGCTTTTGATCATTTTTCCTTTTATTAATCATCATGTGCTTAAGAGCAATTAAGTCCATGAAATTCTGAAATTCTTAAGAGTGGTTGGACACTTCTGCTCTAGCTTGGAAAGTTTAGCAAAGTGTCCATGGAACACTTCTAACACACAAACACTTCCATTCATGTAAGATTTAAGCTTTAAAAGAGCTCCATCTGACAGGCTTCCAGAAGATAGGCTCAGTGAATTAAACAATAACATATCAAATAAGACCAACTAATAATGCTGATGAAACCTTTCAATAGCAAATTTTTCTATCATGATAGCTTATGAGAAAAGTTAGCAAAAGGTAAAAAGTACTGTTCATTTCTTTAACTTGCCTTCAGTAAGAGTCCCTAAATCAATAAACTGGATAGGTCAGATTTTAAAACCCAACCCTGTCTTCTCTAAAGAAAATATATCTGGGGCACCTGGGTGGCTCAGTCAGTTAAGCATCTGCCTTTAGCTCAGGTCATGATCCCAGGATCCTGGGATTGAGCCCCACGTGGAGTCCTACTTTGGGATCCCTGCTCAGTGGGGAGTCTGCTTCTCCCTCTCCCTCTGCTCCTCCCCCTGTCCACTCTCCCTCTAATAAAAGCTTTTTTTTTTTTAAAAAGCCAAATACATTTTCTTTTTTTTTAAAGATTTTATTTGAGAGAGAGCACAAGCTGGGACGGGAGTGGGGAGGGGCAGAAGGAAAGGGAGAAGCAGACTCCCCCTCCGCGAGCAGGGAGCCTGACGCAGGGCACAGTCCCAGGACCCCAGGATCATGACCTGAGCCAAAGGCAGACGCTTAACTGACTGAGCCACCCAGGGACCTCTGTATCTGGCTTTTAATTTGTAGATAAACACTATCAGTTTGTACAGGACTTTACAAAACATTTTTGCATTATAGGATCTCAAAGTTGGATCATTCTTATTTGTAGTCTCTCAAAAAACAAAAACACCAAAACTCCACAAAACAAAAAAAAACCTATTTTCAAATATGAGAAAACTAACCATATGAAAGGTTAAGAGATTTTTCCAAAATTATAGTATAATGGAAGAGCTTAAGTTATTTAAACACACACACACACACACAAATAGCAACAACATAAGCAATATGGATTAGATTTTAGAAGTGTTATACAGAATTTTCTAAATACATTTTGATTATTTGATCCCAAGTAAGGAAAACTAGGAACATTTTGTGGTCGTATTACCGTCCTTAAATGAAGAAAATCCCCTTTCTGATTTAAATTGACTGTATAGCACTGTTTGGATGTTGAATACATTCTTTTTCAGTCATTTTCAGACCTAGTATAATAAAAATTCCTCTTTAATGATCAGTATTTCAGGCCCTCATGATTCTCTTTAATATCTAAATAATCATTTACGAAAATAAACAGGTTTGTTGCAAAAAGCACAGAGCTGGGTTTTAGAATTTATAATTACAAAGGTCCAATATTTATAAACTTTGCACATATTAAAAAAGGCTTCCTGTCTATAGGACTGTATGACACTGGAATATCTCGAGTTTGCAGCCTCTCCCCGGCAATCTTAACCATAGTTTAAATTAAGAGTAAGTTCCAGCTTTCTGAAATGGTGTAAATTATAGTTGTGTCAGTAGGGAGAAAGATTTACTGAATGCTTTTCAGTATGTTTTAAAGCCATGGAACCATTACAAAATTAGACTGACTCCACAGCTCTTGCTTAGTTAAAACAACATGCAATACTATACAGGAATTTAAAAATTATTGCACTGGGGGGAAAGTACTGTCAGAGATGCTCACATTTACCAATCATATTACTTTAAGTTGGCTGAAAGCTAAGGTGCTTGACAGCTGACAAGATTTCTACAATTCCTTTTCATATTTCCTTCAGCACCTGTTGATGGGGACAACCTGTTCATATTTTTCACTATAGCTGTTTGCTGATATACAACTTGTCCCTTTTCCTCAAATATTTACCTGCTAAATAAAATATTCAGTCTTGTTTTGTGACTTACAGTTGACTGATAACTAAAAGAGTTTCTGCTGATTCCTGAAGCACAAAAGTTTAAGCAGCAGGCTCTGACTGGGTCTGTTCATTGTCACTCAATCACACATTCATTCAACCAATCAACCAGCATTTACAGATAGATCATCCACTATGTGCTGAATTCAGTTATCTTAAATGGAACTAAAACAACAAAAGCTTTAAAGAATTACCGGAACTTTTATTTTTGCTTAGTTTTATTAAAAAAATAAATATGTCATAAAGCTTTATTTTCCTTTAAGGAGAAAAAAAGGAACAAGTTTCATAAAATCAAATAAGCAATGGTAGGGTGTCTTAACTTGAAAAAGATTGGGAATCACTGGTTTACAAGTTATAATTGAATGAAAGAACAACTGTAACAGCCACAGTTGGCTGTTTCATGCCAATGGCAGCAAACAACAAGATCAACTAGGGCAAAATAAATAACTGTGTGGAAGCCCTGATAAGTGCTTAAACAGACTGAGTCACTGAGACATCAGGATAGATATATCTTGCTTTAAACAACACAGGAGTTCCTGAAAAGTTCTGTGTAAATGAAATAGCCACAAACATACTAGGAGAGTTCAGTATCCGAAAGAATTCCACAGTGAAAATTCTTTTGTGAACAACCACTTCCACTTTTGTAAATTCAGGTATTCGCTTTGCTTAAAGCAAAGTATACCTAGCTGCTACCTCTCTGAACTGAGGCATTAGCATATACACCGGACATTGCTCCAGCTGGGCCAGTGGCACAATTTCCAAGTTTGTGTTTCTGTTAAGTAGTGTAAAATAGAGAGTCAGCCAGAGAACCCAGCTGCATCTGGCAAAGCAGGCATAGGGGTGGGATAACCACCTTTAACAATATTTCCAAGCCAACAAATACTTTTGAGAGTCTACTTTGTGCAAAGCACGGTAATAAATCTTATCAATTCAGTTATAGATGTACTTCCTTTCTCTAAAACCTTCAGTCAAGGCCTAGGTCTGGAACTCTAAAATAAAGTAATACTACTAACCCTCAAGACTGGCTTTAACTGAATTAGCTGCCCAACTCCTTCAGATTGGGGTAGACGATAATGGAAGAGACTGAGTTTTCTAAGGCTGAAGTTTAACAACACAAGAATCAGTTTCATATAACCAGTTAGTGAAAAATTTTGCTGGTGACAAAAATTTTTCAAATGGTTCTTTTTTTCTTTCTTTTTTTTTTACTTCCTCTGAATCCTCAGGCAAATTCTGCAGAACACTTAAAGTCACTGATGCTCTCTGATTGGGTGATACATTTCAGTTTGGGTGATACATTTCAGTTCTGCCAATAGAAATAAAAATTTCTTTCCACCCACCAGAATTTCATGAACTTATCCTACACCATAAGTGATACTTTGGACAGGGAATAAGTATGGTAGTACTAGCTCCAGTCAGTTTTATCATTATAAATAAATAGAACCCTCACTTTGCTCACAGCCTCCATTTCATTTGGCCAAACTTCACCAGGCTTAGGTCACATTTAGTTAGTTAGGCTGTTCAGTTTCTTTTTAAAAATGCTTCCAATACCATTGCTGCCTACATGTACAAGTGTGAATAAAAAGAGTATGCAACCTGTAGTCTTTTCCACACTGACAACAGTTAGTAAATAATTAAAGAATAAGTGGTCATTTTAAAACTTGTGTTTTTCTTTTAAAAAATTTCACTTTCTAGCACTTAAAAAATGGGTCTTAAAAGTGCCCTATTAATGTCCAATGCTGTTCCTCCTCTGTCCCACCCATCCAAAACCTGCTACAAATGCTGGATTGAGTTCATATCAAATAATTCAGCAGTACCAAGATTTTTCAAATGGAAACAGTGTTACTGACTTCTTCATATTGGATAACAAAATAAGGGTAACTCTGATCATCATTAAAAATGACAAAAATCTGAGGCTCAAAGAAATTATCCACACAAGAGTCATACAGGTCGCTGGTGACACTGCCCGGATTGACAGGAGGGGGCCTTCTCATGCCATGACTGCCCATCGTGTATCTTCCAGTTAGCACTTTGGCCAGAAACATGAAATGGACTCCTTTGGAGGACTTCTTAGAAAAGTTATGAGAGTAGCTTGCCTTCTTTGCAAAATAACTGCCTTGTCCAAACATTGTAGCATGCTTTCCACAGACTCGAGGGTCAAAGTTGTGCTTGCAGATTCCATCTACCACATCCTGGGATGTTCCATGAAATAAATGTCTCTCATTGATTATCCTGTCACGGCCAAACATTTTCCTGTTCATATATTCCTTTTTCCTAATGCAAAGAGCGGACAGGGAATTCAGAAGAAGGAAGGTACAGATCAATTTAATAGGCAAGATGTAGTCACAGACTTCTCTTTACGGTTTCAATGAAGAGGAAATGTTAAAGTAGCTTTCAAGGGCAAAATGCCATCAAAGATCATATTAAAAGTTTAAACTTATCTTTTCCACTGCAGACAAGAAAAGCCCTTCCCCCCCCCCAACACCTGTTCACTTGCTCTCTCTTCCATTTCAAATCTAGTTCACAAACTTACTTTCTCAGGATAACTTCTTTGTCTAATTCCACCTACCTGAGTGTCTCTTAATTCTGAGATTACTCAAACCTGCATGTATTCTTTTTGTACTGCATTTGTTTTTTTGTTGACTTGAGAGGCAGCATAGGAAAGTGATTAAGAGCAAAGCCTCTGGTGCTAGACTGCCAGGGTTCAAACTCCAGCATGTATCTTAGCTGTATGACCGGTGGCAAGTTACTGAACTTACATGGTATGTTTAAGAGTATATGTGAGTTAACATATGAAAAAATACAAATACTAGGCTTTGTCAAAGTCTTTACTATTATGTTCTGCATTTGTCATTAGCTACGTTAAGAAAAACTCTTAAACTTTACATACTGCTGACTCACCTTTTATATTTCTCCCAAAGAAACTGGTTTTGGACTCTCAGTATTTGCAAAATTCTATATTTAAACTCAGGCACAGTCTTATGAAAAAGGTTATAAATGATTCGATAACTTTTGTCCTCTACAGAAACAGGCACTTGGATGAAGTCCTGAGATGGATGCATATAAACCCAAGTTTCAGGGTAAAAGTTTGCTGAGGTGACCCCATCAGGGCAGATGATTTGTGATGATGAGGTTGCTTCAAGAGGTGGAGGAGCCTGTGTGGGAACACCACCAAGTGTCCTAGAAGGGAGAGGAAGGAATGTCAATGTAAAACATTTAAGTACATCTCACATTATAGTGCTCTACAGCAGTATCTAAAACTATAATTTGCATAGCTTAAGTGCTTGTTTAAAAAACTATATAGAAAATGCTATGTATTAAAAAAAAATCTTAGGGGGTCCTGGGTGGCTCAGTTGTTAAGCCTCTGCCTTCGGCTTGGGTCATGATCCCGGGGTCCTGGGATGGAGCCCCGCATCGGGCTCCCTGCTCAGCAGGAAACCTGCTTCTCCCTCTCCCACTCCCCTTGCTTGTGTTCCCTCTCTCGCTGTGTCTCTCTCTGTCAAATAAAATCTTTTAAAAAAAATGAATAAATAAAAATAAATTTTAAAAAATCTTAAAGTAACACTGCCTGTACACAGATAACCTATTATTAGCTTCTTCCTAGCCTCCTCCTTATGGAGAAAACTCTGGAATGTACTGCTACAAGGCAAGCAGGCAAGCAAGAGCCAATTTATAAATATCTTTACTTTGAACCCTTGATTTCTCTTTTGCCTATATAGTTAAGGAAACTCTGTTTCTAGAGAGCAATGATAATTTATATGTATTCTTCAAACTTTGCTGTACTGGGGCATCTGGGTGGCTCAGTCGTTAAGTATCTGCCTTCGGCTCAGGTCAGGATCCCAGGGTCCTGGGATCAAGCCCCACATCGGGCTCCCTACCCGGCGGGAAGCCTGTTTCTCCCTCTCCCACTCCCCCTGCTTGTGTTCCCTCTCGCTGTGACTCTCTCTGTCAAAAAAAAAAAAAAAAAAAAATCTTTAAAAAACTTTGCTGTACTAAGCAGAAAATTTACCATTACTAAACACTATGTAGGTGGGGGGAACAGACTGATGGGGAGACAAAGTAAGGTAGGCAGGGAAGAGGGAGCTTTTAGGAAGATGACACAAAATATTAAAAATAAGCTTAGGGACGCCTGGGTGGCTCAGGCAGTTAAGTGTCCACCTCTTGGTTTAAGCTCAGGTCGTGATCTCATGGGTTGTGGAATCGAGCCCTACATCAGGCTCCATGCTCAGGGGGAGTCTGAGTCTGCTTGAAGATTCTCTCCCTCTGCCCTCTGCCCCCTACCCCTGCACGTACACATGTGACTCTCTTTCTCTTTAAAATAAATAAATCTTTTTTAAAAAATTAAAAAGCTTATACTTCTTGTATAAACACAAAAAACATTGGAGTAGGCATTGAAAGCTGACACTTGGTATTAGTTTCATTTTTCAATATCACATGTAACAACAAAGTCATCAATTGTATTCAAATTTTATAGCTTTAGGTGTGCTTAAGATGGAGCTAATTACTTTAAGCTTTAGACACCAGAATGTATATCCTTGAACCTTTAAATTCAGGTCTGTTACACTTTGACAGGTGAGTTTCTATTAAGTAGTAGCTGAATAGTTATTCCTGCCCAATTAAATGCTTAAATTTAAATTGTATTTCTTGGCCATTTTCAAAACAGAACAAAAAGGAAGAATCAGAGAGGAAATCTTGGCCCTGAGACCCAGATGCAGGGCCAGGGTACTAGAACACTCTTTAGCATACAGTGGTCACAAGGAAGCAGTAAGTCTGCCAAATGGATTAGGAAACTAAAATTTTCAAAAGAGCTTTGTGACACAGAGGTTACAACCGTGAGTGAACATGCATCTAATCTCCAAGATGATTCCTATCATCACCCTCCTCATAATCATAGCCACCTTATAGTAAGCACATACTATGGACAGGCATTTTACATTTATCACTAATTGTCGTAACAACCCTGCAAGATGGCTTGGTTATCTGTACTTTTCAAATAAAGAAACTGCTAGCATAGTAGCAAAGAACAGAGACAGGATTTGAACCCAGGCCTATCTACATAGTTTCTAGATGCATATTCTTTCCACTGCTATACACTTCACAATTCATATACATATATATATTTATATATAAATATAGGAGAAATATACATATATATAGTCTTTTTCTTCTCCTCAAGGCTTGAAAGTGATGGATGTATATCAGGGTTGCAACGCAGGTTTGCCTGACTCTCACTACCACCACCGCCATCTCACACAGTCTTTTAAGAGATGACTTGATAAGAAGCTAAAAAGCTATAGAAGCACAACTGCCTTCTCTAACACCTGCCCCCTTCAAGTGGTTGTGCCGATGATTTAGCATGCCTCAAGGTCCCTTGGGAGACACAGATAGAGTTCTGGGAGGAGCTAAGGCTTACAGAATCCCCCATGTACTTTTAAGTTCAGGGGTCAATTTAAAGGGGCACTGGCTTCTCTAACCTTCCTGACAGAGGCATAACAGTTCTTGTCCTCTGGGGAGTTTTCATAAAGCCCTGACAGATTCCTCCAGAGCCTTCATTCACTGGCACATTTTTCTGAAGAGAGGCCCCACTGCTTTAATAAGATTCTGAAAGGTAACTCCTTCAAAAGCCATCACTATTCTGGAGAAATGGCAGGAAACACAGAATATAAGCTATTTTTAGCTGTTCCCTCTATTCCTGCTCTCCAAAATGAGTAAGTTCCAGCCTACCAGATTTTCCAGTATTATTAGGGATTGAAGTTACCAAAAGAGGTGTTTTTTTTTTTTTTTTTTTTTAAGATTTTATTGATTTATTTGTCAGAGAGCGAGCGAGAGAGAGAGAACACAAGCAGGGAGAGCGGCAGGCAGAGGGAGAAGCAGGCTCCCTGCTGAGCAGGGAGCCTCATGCGGGGCTCAATCCCAAGACCCCGGGATCGTGACCTGAGCCCAAGGCAGACGCTTAACCAACTGAGCTACCCAGGCATTCCCCAACAAGAGGTTTCTGAATTGAGGGAGGAAGGTAAGATTCTCCCAACCTACTCTGCCCAAAATAGGTTTTAGGTTGCTGTCACAGCCATACTGAAATCCTGGCACTGACCAAAGACGACTCACACATACTTGAAGATGAGCCTGTGTAAGTAAATCCTATCCATCCTAAAACATTAAATTAGATTTTATATTCATAATTATCATCCATTCCTATCTACAGACGCTTACTTTTAGTAAGCCAACATCCTAATTGGGCTAAAACATAAAAATGCACATAGACAGCTGTCTGATGGACTTCTACACTCCAGTTGCCATGAGTTAGAAATACATATTCCAAGCACAGTTACAAATGTGGCTTTATTTTCTGAGGATGTTGAGTTTGTATTCAGCTCAAGAGTATTCCAATGACATATCATGTGCTTCACAGTGCTGTACCAGCCTTCTTCAAAGAGGCAAAATTGAAGGGTATGGAACTTCTACTCAAGGACCTCTGAAGAACGGGTTTTCAAAATTCAAGGTCATCTTTTACAGTTTCCTTCCCTCCCCTTGCCATTTCAAAAGATGTTTCCTAACTCACTTTCAATGATGAAGTAAAAACTAATTCATTTTATCCTTTTGGGGGAGGAGTCAAACTCTGTCAGGCTTTCCCATGACCATAGGGTGACTGTACAGGACAGATGTCCTTTCAGCTAAAATGAACTCCTAAACCTCTAAATCTGAGATTTGTTTGCTTATGCAGCCTCAGCTCAAGTATTCCAAGATTATTAAAGAATAAGCTCCTTTTTATCAGCCTCATTAAAAAGCAGCAAGCACAAGGAAAAACTATTTTCTTTGTAACTATGAGTGATGGATGTTAACTAAATTCTACTGTGGTCATCATTTTGCAATATATACGTATGTCAAATCATTATGCTGTATACCTTAAACTTAAACTGGCACAGTTGTATGTGAGTTATAGCTCAATGAAACTGGAAGGAATTAAAAGCACCAGGGAAACTCTCATTTATGAGGAGTCAAATTTGCAGGAAATCCATAGATTAAGTCGCCAGCCCACTCTCCTCACCTCCCCTGTTCTGGCATTCCCAATTCCTAGGCATCTCTGATTTCCTGATAACTGTGGCCTTTTTGACACTTATGTTTTAATCTGACCCTATGCATTTACTAACACTTAAAAACAAAACTTTCTTCCTGGTTAAGATTAAAATCATGGTCTTTTTAGACTCTGTTTTTGCAGTCTGCTTTTTGAAACTAATCCCTCTCAACCTTCTCCGACTAGGCCAGTCTGAGTGCCTCATAGCCCCAGACTCTAGGGCAGATAGGAACTGAAGGGCTGCATTTACCCATTCCACCTTGGTGAACTTGCTGTTTGCTTCTTTGCTCTTTTCTCATTGAAATGTCTGCATAATCTCTTTGATTTGCTAAGCTCTTACTTTATACCTGATTAACACTGTTCCAGACAAGAAGACTAAAATAGAAGATTTTAGAAAGAAAAAGAAAGAGATAATAGGGTGACTTTCTTTGTTCTCTTAAGACTATGTTACAAATAGTAAGGTGCCAAATTTGTGGCATTAATTCTACTACTGCTTATATTATTTTCAGAGTTCATACTTTTACAAAATAAGCCTAAATTTAAAAAGAGGAGGAGGGGTTATTCCATAATTATTTGTCTTAGGATTGAAACAATCAATGTTCACCATTCTGTAAAACTCCCCCAACAATGCAGCACTTGAATGAGCATTCTTACTCTCACTCAGAAGCTACATCTTGCTTGATTGGCTCAGCATGCCAAGCTGCTGGTCTCACTAATGAGTTCTACCGTCTCACTAGGAGGACAATATGTTCCTAACTACTGGACGCTGACACTGTCTCCAGCTGTGCTAGTGAAATCACGGAAATGGAATTTTTATTAGCTTCTAATAAAAAAAAAAACCTACAAGGTAAAATTTTTCACACTTGGACTAGGAAGAAAGCACACTTTTACTCAAAGCCAACATATATTTCTAAAATCAGCCTTACTAAAAATTGCTTTTGGATACTGAGCATTTCAGGGATTTTTATTCATTTATATTTTGTTTTTAATGTTCCCTTTGCAATCTCATAATTAGAATCATTAAAATTCTGTCATTATGATATGGGAAAAACACAGTTTGAGACTGAAATTAAAAAAAAAAACCTAGTAAGAATATAAAAACAGCATCTCTAAGATAAGTAGAAGAGAAAAACCAGTATTACTCTAGACCTCCCCCAATATTACTCTAGACCATAAAACCAAGTAAACCTAGCATTATTTTAAAAATCAGGCTCTAAATATGGTATATCTGATGAGAGTACATAACAATTTCCCTAGAGTTACTAAATTTCAAAGATGGCCATGCTATTGTTAACATGCTCCACCTTTTTGGCATCTATGGCTATCTGGGGGTGAGGAAGAAGAAATGGCACTTGGGAAAATGGAAGAAGAGCCCACCTACAATTCAGAAGGTTGAATTCAGTCTCAATCTAGAAGTATGACAGATAATTTTAGTGAGTATTACAGGAAGGTGGGCCTTACTTAGGAAATGAGAATGCAAATTCTTTGAAAAGAATCTTTCCCACGAAAATTCACTCAAGGAAGAAGAACTGGAGAATGCCACCTTGAAGGACTCTCTCTACTTGCCCTGGAAGTTTACCTGTACTGGGAAGTAGTCCCATTACATGGACAGTTATCATCAGGAAACTCAATCTTCCACATAGGAAGCAAATGCAAACTGCCTCATTCCAGATATAATTACTTTTTGTTGTACAAAAATGTTACTTCTCCTTGCTTTCCATTCAAAAAAATCAACTGGATAATCACTCTTTTAGTTAGGTTAATTGTAGCTTACCTGAACTCCACTCTTTGAAGAATTAAACCTATAGAATAACTCAAAAATTCACATTCTAGAAGTAATAACCAAGTTAGTCTCTTAATTAAAAATCTTTTACTCTTTGGCATTCAGTTGTACATTTACATAAAATGTACTCTCATTTTATGAGAGTAAAGATAAGGCTTTCCACTGACACTTACTGTAAATACGGAAGCAGTGTAAAACAGGAGCGGAAGAGGGGTCTCCTTTTTATTTCTCTCCTGAAGAATGAGTTGTGGAGGATGTAGTGGTTGTTCCACATCATAAATCGGACCTCTTTCAGACCTCGAGAGTTGGCTTCTTCAATCAATCGAATAACAGACTGGAGTAGAAAATAGAAGGTAAAGTAAAAGAAGTTAGAAAAAAGCAATCACTATGAAATATGAAAAAATGTTACTATAACTAAAGACAAAAACAGTTAACCTTGCTGTTAACATCAGAAAAGTTTCAGTAAATTACAGAGAGTCAAATTAATTCTCTTTACACAGGATTTTTGGGGAGGGAGGTATGGGGGCAAAGAAACAGAATAGAAAGATGTTCCTTCTTCAGAAGAGCATGGATTTCTGCCTTATGAAACATGTGAGGGCCAGGGAACTACTCTATTTTGAGGCCTTAACAATGTCCTGGAGATTTTTTTGTTTATATTTCTTAAGGAAATTTTCAGAAGAGGATTAAAGATGGTAGCGTATATAATCCAAATAAACTAGTTAAGTTCCAAATCCAAGAAGTCTTTCAGAGGAAAAACACAGGGACATGTATTCTGAGAATACATTTTAAACAGCCTCTTATTCTCCTTGGAAGGTATTAGATACTAGTGATTACTTAAAAGAGTCTCAGAAATCTTAATTTCATTGTGTATTATTAAGCAATTAACATACTAGGTAGTTTTCTTTTGCTATTACCTTAAAAGAAAACCTAAGGGTAAATAAGTCAGTTCTCCCTTTTTGTAATGCTAAAAATGAATTTAATCAAATCAAAGAAGTCAGATCTTTGGGAATGTGAAATCAATCTCTAAAGTCCATTTCATTGTTTTTAAACTTGACTCAGAATTCTCATTCAGAGGCAAAGTAAACCCATCATCATTTTAAAACCTTACTTTGTGATTTATGAGCTATTCTTACCATCTCAGACTAAGGATACATGTACATATATGACAGAATTTTAAATGACTGATTTGCCTGACCACAGCTCAATAAACATTTTCAAGTATTTCTTCCAGGGACTTAAGAGTGCTTGTTTCCCATTAGACTTCCGAAATGCTAAGTGTAACACATGATCCAATGAACATGAGCCCAGGAGCCAGAAACAGCCAGAATTACACCAGTGCTCATCTCATTAAAATTATTCCAAAGGGGCACTGGGTCTGAATACTTGGTCTCTACTGGGGAAAGCATTTTACCTCTCTGATAACAGTGGTATTTATGGATTCCAGACTAATGGAAAGAAATACATCCTCAGAAAAATTGAGAATAATGTTAATAATATCAACAAGACTCAATTTTACATCAGTAAGCTCTTTGATTTGTTGTTCTGTCTAGTCACTGTTGTGAAGGATTAGAAGGAAAGGACAGTGAAAGACAAAAAAAATTTAAATGCACTTTTTGGAAAAAGAACCTGTAAATACCTCAGGATACTCTCTCCATCCAAAGTGGTCCCTACAGAAGAACTTCCAGACTGTGTGATAAATAGAGTTTACATTGCTAGAGGGTGGTGTGGACAGCCTTCGTAGTTGGTCAAATTCAGTTGTTTCATACACATTCATGGCATTCAAATCTGCCCAAAATTCTTGTCCTCTAAAAAGAACCCCCCAAAAAGAACTGTTAATACATTTGCAAAATAGAAGTATCTAAACATCTCATCAGACATTAAAAATATGTAGTATAGCGTGCTGTAGAATTTTCAAGACTTATTTGGAATGAAAGGACATTACAGGTTGTTTTCCATTTCCTACATGCCTTTTCTTAACAAGACCAAAGGGTTCCAGGCCACGGAGTCATGGTAGGACTGACGTGACGCTATCCCACAGTATCACAGACTTAAACCAATCAACATAATCCAACCCTCCCCCAAACCCTGGTGTTTCAGTCAATCAGGGAGTCAGTTTTAAGATGAAGCTGACATAGGAAGCAGAGAAACAAAAGAAACTTCTCTTGAAGCTTGCCCTTTTTTTCAGAGGTATCAGTTTACCTAAGTCAATACAGAATACACAATATTGCCTGATGAAAGGGGGGAAAAAAAGAAAAAAAAAAAAAAAACAAAAAACACCCAGATGAGACCAGTATTGCTATTTTACCCAATATCAATACTATCTTTTATCCCAGGGGCTGGAGGGGGAGAAGTTGGCAAGACATGGAGAGAAAACTAGTTTGGATTATTATGAAGCTCAGCTATGAGAATATTTTTGTCATTTTGTTATCTGGCCTGCTGCTGCTGAATCAGCACTTCATAAATATCTCAATACTACTGGGGGAAAAATCCCACTATATGAATTAGTATCTTTTAAGAAATTATAATGGGTGGTCCAATTAAAACCTCTTTCTTTTTTAATGGATCTTCATCTAGTGTTCGAAACATCTGAACCATTATTTTAAGTAACTGGAAAAATGTACATTGTACTGTTCTTTTTGTGTATGTTTCAAAATGTCCCTAAGAACATATGAAAAATAAAATACATGGGCACCTGGGTGGCTCAGTTGGTTAAGCGACTGCCTTCAGCTCAGGTCAGGATCCTGGAGTCCCGGGATCAAGTCCCACATCAGGTTCCCTGCTCGGCAGGGAGTTTGCTTCTCCCTCTGACCCTCCCCCCTCTCATGCTCTCTCTCTCTCAAATAAATAAATAAATAAATAATCTTTAAAAAAAAAAAAAAGAAAAAGAAAATACATCATGAAGTAACATCATAGGTATCAGCAGAGTGACTAAGTTTCCAAACACATTCCTTCATCTTTCTACCCTTTCCACAATGAATTTCTAAATGGATGTCTATAATACACAGGATACTCCAGATCTAGTGGCACTCACAATGACTGGTTCACGTGAAATCCAGGTGTCTGAACAAATTTTCCCAATAATTAACTTATTTCCTTGCTGTAAATTAGAATTTTGAAAAGGGTATTAATTTTGACCTATGGGTTTTGTTGGTTAGTACAACACTTTCCAAATTCTGCTCTTGGAACACTTGTTTCAAGGACTGTTAATAGGTATTCTGTGTAAAAAGCATTCTGTGGTCAAATGTTTGAAAAAAACTTGGTTACACAAAGTTAAACAATTTACTTACTACGCCACTCCTCAGTCCCTTTAATATTCTAAGGTAAATATTGAAGTACCATGATGAGGGCTATAAAATATCCTTCCAAAATTGTGACAATGCTCTCTTCCTTTTTTTCCATGAATACCTATTAACATCTCTCAATAAACACCCTTGGCAAATGTCAGGGAATGAAAATCTATTTCCCGCCCTCTATCCTAATGTTCGTAATTTCTGAAACAGATTCTATTTGGAAAAAAAAAACCAAAAAACAAAACTCAAGTCATATATCCAACTAATGGTGCCATGAAGCACGTAACTTATAAAAAGCAGGATGTTCCTTTAAAAATTCCTAAGGAGCTCCCCCAAACCCTAATTTCTGGCTCAGAAAGAGACTGACCAAAAAAAAGAAAAAAGAACAAGAGTACTGACTAGTAGGACATGATCTTTAAAGGAACATATACTTTTAATTAAGTGTGAAATGGAAATAAGACAATAAAATGTAGTTTCAAGTCACATTTGGACACTTGTTTAAAATTTTTATTTAATTCAAAAGGAAAAAAGTGTTTCTGGAAAATTCTTTAAAAAAAGAAGAAAAAAACGCTGAAAACTACAACTCCTATACCTAAACTTCACATCAAGTTGCTTCAACAATTTGCACTTAATTTTAGGAGAATCTGATATTGAGCCGAGAGATTCTAACCTGTTTCTCCCTCTTAATTTCCAGTTCTACATAGATTTTCTTGCTTTAAGTTCATTTTCCAGTAACTGTTCCCAATTATGAGTTAAATCCTCAGTATTTTCTTTAAGGAATTCTTAGACCAGCAGTTATTATGTTAATATGCATTATAAACAACCAATGCTTTTTGCTGTTAAAGTACCAGATTTTATTCTGGACATCACTCTAGCAATTTCTGTTTAAGCCTGTATTATTAAGACTTCATAGATAATGATTTGCATGAGAAAGACATCTAAAACTGCAGCTTTTGCCACATCCTCTGTGCATTTCAGTCCATTGGGCATTATGAAATTTCTATGACAAATCCTAATTTACTACAATCAACTGTTCTTTGGATTGATGTATCAAAGTACTGTTTTAGCTCTATTTGATTTTCAATATGCTTTTCTAGACTTTGCAGAGACAAAACAACAAATTTGAAAAACATTAAATTATCTTTTTATAAGATTAATTTTACCACCTGCTCTCCCTCAAACAGGGAATGCTTAAAAAATCCAAAGCCAAGAGTTTCTTTTCTCCTCCATCTGCATCAGTAAAAAATGCATGCGATACAGATGCCAAATGTTCAACATATCCACTCTTCTTTATCAAACCATTGTTTCCTATTATGAGAAGGCAGTTATAAGTCATGTATGTGTGGTAATGGTGATGGTGGGCTGTATTAGGGAATACACAAAGAATTAAACAGATGTAGTTCCTGGCTTCCAGGGGCTTCAAGAGAGAAATAACTAACAAAACATAAAACCAGAGGCCATACATCTGCCTATCTAAACTCATCAGTGGCAAGTACCTCCTGGGAATGAGAGGATAAAGAGTAGGCAAGCAGCATTATGGGACAGGAGGTGGTTATAGGTATCCAGGAATGGATAAAGGTCAGGAAAAGTTAAGAGGCTTTACTGTATCAATCCAAGATAGCTTTCTCTAAGAGAAAGAATTTTATGAACAGTTTAAATAATAGGAAATAATGCCAGTAAAGAAAGAAAAATAATACCAGGGTCGTGTAGAAGAACAAGAAAAAAAATAATTCTTCAAGAGTTTCGCTTCTTGGAAGAAGGGTAGGGACAGGGAGGGACAGGAGCAGTGCAAATAGCTGGAAAAGGAAATCTTTTAAATAGGGGTACAAAACAGATAAGGAAATGTGAACCAGGATAAAATAGGCAACATGAGAGATGTCAGGCCATGAACTGAGGAAGTAAGCCCAGGGTCTCAGAGCTTCAAATTTAAGAGTATGAATTTAGAGTATTGAGCAGATGGTGATAAAGGGTTGAAGCAATAAATACAGGATGTGTGAAGACTGAGCAAGACAGACAATGCTAGAGATTGAGGTAGAGGGAACCGCTATAAAAGCAGGGTGCAATAATCCTGGTAGATGAGAACCCAATCTGGACTAAGGACGTACCCACAAGGGATGGCCAGAAAAGAAGGAGTATGGGAGATAGCCACTGTACAGGATTTAGATTTGACTAAATATATCATGTGGCTAAATCAATCAGTACTGACTTACTCAAGATATAACCCTATCATGATGAATCAGCGAAAAAAATCTTGTAAACAGATTGATGATTTTTGCTACAAAAGAATGAACTAAAATTGCTAAAATATGAACAATTCTGTTTCCACATGTTTCACCAACAGACCACCACACATACCAATATAAGAATCCAGATACAAAACGAATTTAAAATTCTGAAAAGAACACCCATTCTCATAATTTAGATGCTTTATAACAATGATTCTCCTCCTACTCAACAAATATCTTGACATACCGAGTAAGACATTTCCCAGTATTTATTATCTATGCATAGAGCACCAACACCCACATTAAGTCAGAAAGAATGCCCCACAACCATCATTTCTTCTATGTATATTTCAAATACAAAAGGAAGTAAACAAGGCCCATGATGTAAATAATAAACAGAGCTATAGTGAAAACCAAAACTATTTAAAAAAAAGTTGGGGTGCCTGGGTGGCTCAGTTGTTAAGCGTCTGCCTTCAGCTCAGGTCATGATCCCAGGATCCTCGGATAGAGCCCCGCATCGGGCTCCCTGCTCAGTGGGAAACCTGCTTCTCCCTCTCCCACTGCCCCTGCTTGTGTTCCCTCTCTCGCTGTGTCTCTGTCAAATAAATAAAAAAAAAAAAAAAAAAAAAAGAAAGTTGAATGAAACAGAAATTAGTAAGAACATGATCTCTCTGTTAGATAAATAGTTCTTGGAATTATGCATTTGGGAGCTCAGTAAAGAATGTAACCATTTTAGACAATTTCTCTGTATTTATAAGTTGAAACCAAGAAAGAAATGTGAAAAACAAAAAAATCTTAGGTAGACACATTGATTAAGCACTGGGCTATGTGCTGGGGATAAGATGAAAAGGACCAGAGTCAGTAAGGAGAGAAAGAGATACAAGCAAACCCAGTGGTATGGTGTGAAATGTGGCACAAAGGTGCTCTGGGAACAATTCAGAGGCAGAGGGCCTACCTCTGCTGGAAAAGGGGTCAGGAAAGGTATTCATTGGAGGTATCCTAGAGTAGATGAATGAGAGCCAAGTCTGGCTGGCCACCAAGCAGACAATGGGAGGCAGGACATCACATGCAGAGTGACTGACATGTGAAGAAGCCAACCAAACAAGGCACGAGAGATCCAAGAGCGTGCAGTACATACAGTTCATGTGGGAGGTCAGGATATATGTGTGTGTGAGGGGGATGATAAGAGATAAGACTGGACTGGATAGGTTGGGCTGGGGCCAGATAATGAAAAGCTTTGTATGCTGGGTTAAGAGGTCAGGACTTGATTCTGTGGGCAGTAAGAATCAC